GCTCCTTTAAATTCAAACAAACAAAAAAAAAGTGGTTAGGGTCGTCAGCAAGTCTGTAAAGCCACAGTCAACACAGCAGTTTGGAAAACAAGTAAGACAAAAACATAGTGGTGTCATGGTACTTCATGTTCCAGTTAAGATGGCCCTGATGCCAATTTCCAATTCCTAGTCATAAACAAAACAGTTCCAAGGCAGACCAACAGCAACAACAAAAGTAACCAATCAGCTTTCTGGTCTGTGAGGGAAGCCAAAAACTAGTTCCCTCAGGCCAAATTCCAATCCATCTTTGTTTTTGTATGGCCATGAACTAAGAATAGATTTTTTTTAATGGGTAGGGAAAATATTTAGTGGCATAAAATTATACAAAAATGAAACTTCAGTGTCCAACAAAGTCTAACTGGTATGCACTCCCACGGACTCCCATTGTTGATTTCTTAACTTTCACTATGTTGTAGCAGAGTTGAGCAGCCGTGAGAACACACAGCCTCCAGGGAGTGCCAACTCACTGTCACTCTTTATAGAGAAGCCTTGCCAACCACTCATCAACCTAATGTACAAAACTCATGGTAATCTGATAGTTTTTGTGGTTTTATAACATAAAATAACACAAGAAAAATGCATCAGATTGATGCCAGCAATGTATTTCAGATAAACACAAACATTTCCTTTATGACATCATACTGTAAGATGAGTTTATACATACTAGCATGTATACCAGTCTTGATAATATATTCTGGAGTGAAATAGTTGATTATTAGATATGATGAACCAAATTACAGTTGTTGACAAGAGAGACCAATGTTTACCATAGAGGCATCCAATCTGAGGTCCTTTAAATAAAACAGGGACTACAGAAGACTAATAAAGAAAAGGCGTGGCCTCTGGGCTCTGCACAGGCTTTCTGGCTGCCTGCACTTACTGGTTAGGCACACACTGATCAAATTTATCTCAATACAAGAGTCGATATAAAAGTTAGTGTTTATTCATTGCCATCTGTTATTAGTAATTTAGTTAACAAACTGATTATTTGTTATTTACAAGGCAAGGTGGTACCTGGGGTACAGAGTTGACAGATGGCAAACAAAGAAGAACAAACCAAGAGTTCACCTTCAACCCAGACAGCAACCCTAGGGGGCGAGGACTAAGATTAACTCCACAAGAGAGCTGCCTTTAACTTTAACAAGAACTTTGATGTAGAGGCCAGAAAAGTCTTTCTCTTTCTTTTTTGAAACAAGGTCTTACTGTGTAATCTTGTCTGGCCTCAACTAGCTCCCCTGCCTCAGCCTCCTAAAGGTCTCTGCACAACCACATCCAACTCAAAGAAACTCTTTACAATCCCGGGATTTAAGATTTACAGTCCAACTTAATGTAAGAGTGACTTACTTAAACAATCCTTCTGCTGTCCAAAAAAAACATGATCATCTATCTTGGGAGATATTGAAGCACAAGCTGAAATCCTAGTTTCCAGTTCTCTAAATGACTCTATGGAAGAGTCAAATGCTGGAGGGGAGAGGGGTTAAATTAAGATCTTGTCAGACCCTAAAGCTTGGATTACTGTCTTTCTGTATCCTTGCAATGCACAGAGAGTACAGGAAGTATCATGTTTTCGCCTCATTTCTCTTTCCTTTCCCCTTCTCCTCCCCAGTTCCCTTTCTCTGTTTTTCATTGTCCTGGGGATCAAATCAGGGTCTCATGAATGCCAAGCACACACTCTGCGACTGAGAGATATACTCTTTTCTTTAAAGAGACAGCAGAGAAGGAAAGGAGAGGCTAACTGCTTTTACTGATCTAGGGACCAGGAAAGATAGCTGGTATTCTATACTCTTCCCTCTTTTTAATCTCAGACTTATCTATTATTTACCCCAAAGAGGATTTAAGTATAGTAAATGAAAGGACACTGTAATCACCTAGGATATTAGTCACAAAAGATGAGGAAAAACTTTTCAATAAACTGCCATGTATGCACACACTAAAACTATTATTAAAGTTATTTCATTTTTAGCCTGGATTTCTGACCTGTGGAAATAAGGAGCTGTTGTGACAGGAATTTGATTTACCAAATAAAATCCCCCTGGGGATGACAGGCACCATTGTCCTCTCCTAGCCTAAGCCCAAGTGCAGATCTTTATAACCACACAGCTGCCTTTTCCTATTCCAGCACCATGGATTTCTCTATCTGCTGTAGGACAAGGGGATTCTAGGGCATGGAAGGTGACAGCAGCAGGCTGTCACTAACACTACAGAGAGGTGTAGAGGAGGCAGCTGAAAGAGTCCCACAAAGTGTACAAAACAGAGAATAAAAGGGGAGTGGGTAGTTAGGGTGCAATAAAAAAGTCAAGTTTCTATGTGGAGAATACTGTAAAGCTCAAGATTTATCATCTGAATAAAGTGTAAAAGGGAAGGAGGGCAGCTGTGTAGAGGTCTGTGGAGCAACAGTGAGACAGCAGTTTACTGTGGCTTTGTCTTTTCTAAATAGATGACTCGAGGTGAAGTGTAAGCATGCATTCTTATTGGTAATAACCTCTAAAAACAACTGAATCTGCAAGGTATAGAGTGTCCCATGGGTTTATTCATAGAAGTGACTTTGAAGCCCCTAAGACCTTTGGTGACAACAGGATAGCTCCAGAGATGACTCCAGTCTAGTCTTTTTTTTGTTTTGTTTTTTTGTTTGTTTGTTTGTTTGTTTTTTTGGTTTTTACGAGGCAGGGTTTCTCTGTATTGTTTTAGAGGCTGTCGGTCCAGCCAGGCCTCGAACTCACAGAGATCCGCCTGCCTCTGCCTCCCGAGTGCTGGGATTAAAGGCGTGCACCACCACCGCCCGGCTGACTCCAGTCAGCTCTTGATCAACAGTCAGTCCCCTTAAAGTTTCTGCTAACAATGTAAACAGAGTTGCAAACTTGCAAATGGAATCTACTTCATACTACAAATGCTAGCTATAAGTAAACATCTTAAAAAAAAAACAGGTAAAATATAGAAGCTCCCAAGTACACTCTACTTGAAGAATACCATCTGAATTTATTAAGAGATGGATAAATTTGGAAAGGCATTTTTAACTTCACTAGTTTTAAGTGCCTAGTCAAATATCAACCAGAAGCAGCCAGAAATAAACATGGTGGTTTGCTTACTTCCAGAAATAAGAATCTCAAGAGGTTCACATGTGTCTGCCTTTTCCTTGCATTCTATCTTCCTAGCCCCTCAAAGACCAGGGACAGAACCATGCCACAGGTTCATCCTCAGGAGGTAGATCTGTCCGTAAGGTACTAGCCAGAAACATGAACACCAAATAGTTAAGTGACTTTCTGGAAATGACCCATGGGAAAACAAGGCACAAACCCAAGACTTTACACAGGTCAGTATAGACACCCTTAGTCCAAATTACTTATGGATCTGCCATTAAAAAGCTGACCCAGGGTGAAGCGATACCCAGAAACTAGAACGCCCATGGTACTGAGAACAGAGTGGAGTGGGGGAAAGACAGCAATGCTATTTGCAGCTTCATGTTACAAATATTGACAGCCTGAGATCATACAGGGCTGGAACAGCCAATGCTTGTCCTCTGATAACTGTGTTGGTCAGCTTTGTTCACTATAAGGGCTTGGCATCCTCCTCTTAGCAGCTTTACGAATAAGAAATGGCTTATTTGTCAGCAAAGATCTCTGAGGGTCCTTGCTACACTTGAGAACACAAAACAGCACCATTGGCTCACACTAAACTTTTAATGGATTTGAAATAATTCCAATATAAAAGGAAACAAAATTCAGGGTGATGCTTACAATAATTAATAAAAAGTTGTGTACAATGATGAAAACTGGAACTTTAGGAAATATAATTTGAAAGTTACAAAAGTACTGATAAAATTTTAAGATTATCTTCCTTTTAATTCCTAAAAAAAGGCTTACAGTAACATAACCAACACTAGTTTCATTTGCTAGTTCATTAAGGAAATTACATCTGTTTCACAGATAAAGGGTTATACTTATGATGATCACATTCTGCCTTGAAAAGCAGCTTTGCAGTACTTCAGGTGGCTTGGCAATTCCTCTTTTCTTATGAGTGAATCAATAAATATACTTATTTACAAAATATTTGCTATGAACAGACATAATTTGTGACACAAACCATATACATCCAGTTTGTTTGCTTTTTTTTTTTTAAATATAGCCTGGTCCTTGGTTCTTTTTCTAGTTTTTTAAAACTCCAATAATGACAGAGTATCAAAGCAGTTTTCAGTAAATATCAGATAATCATGTCTGTCAAGACAACAGCTCAATACTAGTGAACACTGAAGTACAACAAGAATCTTGGTCTTTCTCGTTCTCCCTCCCCCTCCGTCATTTCAAAGGCAAAAGCCATCTTTAGAAATTTCATCGACCAAAAATCACTAAGAAGTAATACAAAATATAGTCTCAATGCGACGACCCTAGTGACTCAGAGTCTGAAACAGAGTTTGAGAAGTTAACAATTTGTCCAGATTGTTGTGTCCAAATGCCATAGAAAGCAAGCGACACCATGCAAGTTAATAGTAAGGTGAAAAACCACCGTGTAGGCATTCAAGTGGTTCTCTGAGGAGGTTGTGTTCACCGTTACTTCAGGGAAGCCTCATTATCCACATGCAAACCAGACACGTGTCACAATAGAAGCTTAGATCACAAGGCTATTGATTAGAAACAATTGATTTCAACACAAGTGTGAGAACAAGTCTAAAGTACAAGGAAACAAAGTATCTTTTAAGCTTATTATTATAATAGCTTCCAGCATTAACTACTTAAGCTATAAGGAAATAATAGTATTTTAATTTAGAGAAAAGTGTGTTTATATACAGATCTTGAGTTAATCTGTATTCCAGGACTTTTAAAGGTAGGTAGTCTGAAATTTTCAGCCCTGGTTGGAGGCCAAGGGACACCAGCACCATTTCCCTAAACTAAATCAACTCTATGTATGAAAAGACAGTATTTTAACCGCTAAGTGATTCTTTTAGATACAGTGGTCTATCCTGTGCAGCTCATAAACACTGAGAAAAAGGCCACAGGTGTCACAGCCCCTCCAGAAAGGCCTTTGTATGTACTGATTTGATACTCTAAGAAAAGGAGTGGTTATGGATTTTTGGATTAAAATGATCATTTTAAGGCTTTTGAAAGGTTGGGAAGTTGAATTTCTTCTTAAACTATGGAGCCCATGCCACATAAATGGCTATAGAAGACTGGGGAAATAGTCCATCAAATGTTTTCAGCGTGTTCCAGCCTCTGTGAGACACTGGAAAAGAGGACACAGCAACAGTCAACAGTAAGAGCATGCAGGGGAGCTTTTGGGTGAGGACTACCTGCCACGCACCTCAATCTGATTTGCCTAAATGTGTTGACTTTAGGGCAGGAGTGCTGGCTTGGACGATCCATTGCTACTCCTTTTTCCTCACAATGTATACTCTCCAAAGATCCACATTTGATTATTGACAGGAAACACCACCACAAAAGGTCCCTATAACAGTGAACTATCAAGACCAGAGGCATGATGTAGATTATTACACATTTGACGCCATAGATACGAGTTCAATGGTTTTAGTCTTGATGTGTCAGATGAGTACCCTGCTTTCCAATCATAGAAAGATCAACCACCAAACCGCCAGTGCAAGGACCAGGAGAAAAGACATCATGAAAGGAATACGAGGAGACGGGAAAGTACTAGAGTAGAGGTGGCACTTTTTGAGAGCCTTGTGTTCCTCGGGGATTGGAATAGAAACCTTGGGAGGAATCTCTTCATTTTCTTGCTGGGGCAAGGTTCTCTCAGTGGGTCTCTCTGGCCTTTTAGTTTTCTCTTCACCCTGTACTAACAGAGCACGTTCCTGTGTCTGCTTTCACGATAGAAGATCAAGAAAGACAGAGAAAGATGAACAAAATGACAGATGGAAAATGCTTAAAAGTGATACTTGGGGATGTGCAAAGGTGTGGAAAGATTGGATGCTCTTGATTTTAGCCTCTCTTTTCTTAGGCAATTTACTTAGCAGTTTCTAGAACCCAGTAGGTTTAACTATGTAATTAAATTGAAATTTAATGTTTTGAATCAATTGGCATTGGAACCCTTGAAAGTTCAAGCAATCACTGGCTTTCCTTCGTTCTACAACTTATTCCCTCACTGAGGCTCTTCATATATGATTTTCCTTCCCATATGGATTCCAGGTCGCTTTAAATTGCTTTAGTGCACAAATAATCGCTGGATTAGGCAATGTCAATAACGAAGGATTCTTCTTGTCACAAGTAAAGTTACTTTTACTAACAAATAGAATGGCAGAATATAAAGAGCAATTTTCATATCTCTTCAAAAAGACTTCAAATGCAATAGCTCAGTATGAGAATTAGATTTTGCTCAGGGGAATAGAGGTAGTAAAGACTTCAACATAAGAACAAAATGTATAAATATTTATAATGTGCCTCCAGGGTCTACTGTGGGGTGGGAACAGGGGCAAAAAAACAAGAAAAGAAAGGAAATTACATTCCCACAAGACCTCCAACAGTTGCACAGCCTTGGAATCCTGACTAAAATAGTAATGATCATCATAAAGGATTATACATTTAGTAAGTATTTTGATAACTTTTAATGAAAGATCTATCCCCAATTGGCCAACTGAGACTTTTCTCCTCCTGCATCTCTGTATTCTGCTGTCTGTGGTCAAGGCAGAAGGCCTCTATGAAAGGAAAAACTTGGCTCTGAGTTCTCTTAGTTGAGCTAGCCTTCTCTGGTCAGTTTGGAAGTTGAATACTGGTTCTTTGCACACCCCTAAGTGATATGTATCAGGGAGAAAGTAGCTAGGGGACTGGTCAGCAAAAAGAATAAAAGGAAAAGATAGGATGCAAAATCATAATGATTTTTAAATGAAAACAAGGTGGGAGAAGAAAGACAACATAAAAAGAATAGGGTATAATTAAATTCATTTTCTCTCTGAATACATAGTAACATCTCCATGCAGTTTTTTTAACCAGCCATGCACTGAAAAAAGCGAATTGAAACTGCAGATGCTGCAGCAGTGGAAGTATGATATGTTAAGCCAAAGATTGTGGGTGTGGATTTACTGGTGTAGCAAAAGAAAAGAATTGTTCAGCCACTGTTGCTGAGTTCTGGGATCTCTGCTTAGAGCCATGATCAGAGCAAGTTCTATTGTGCAGCACAAATCACAGCAGCAGCGTTACCTCTGGCCCACCAACCTTTCTTTCCGAGGGGAGGGTGGAAGTTTTCTTCACCTGGTCGTACACAAATTATATAAAGTTCAGTTGCCTGGCAATGCAACAACAATGCTGCCAAAGGTAGGACAGGTGTCCCCAGAGAACAAAAACATTAGACTAACCATAAAAAGATATGCCAAAAAGTAGTCCCAGTACAAAAGATTAAGACAGTATAGTCTCTTATTCCATTATTCATTCAGAGGGAACACACACACACACACACACACACACACACACACATGTGTGTGTGTGTGTGTGTGTGTGTGTGTGTATAAAGCTAAATCATTTGAGCATCCCTAAGGAATTGATTTGAGTTTATAAGAAGTCATTTCTTTAAAGTTCACAGAATGGCACTGCCATCCCAAAACCAGCTTTAGGATGAATTCTAAAGGGTTTCCATTTAAAGACATATACTATTTTCTGAAAATGCAGACCAATACAAATTTACCCAATGACATGTGCATCAAGTCACTGTTTCAAGCTACTTTCAGAGTCCAAAACAGAACTAGAAAAATATGCAAGTATAGTTTGTAGGGAGTTAACAGATGCGATAGCAACAAGTCACTCGTGTGTAGAACACCAGAGTAAGCAAGGGCATTTAAGATCACCATTCTAAAAACAGGCCAAACAAGACAAATGGCTTGTTCAGAGCATTTCATTAAGTTTTGACTGGCCAGATCCTCTCAGTCAATCAAACTGTAACTATCCTTGGACCTTTTGAGTTTTATTTCTGAGGATACATCAAATCAAATTATCTGTCTTTCAGAGTAATGGTCTTACCCAGGAGGGGTTATTTTCCCAGTTTAACGTACATACTATAGACTTTGGATGCGAAAGTAATGGATGTGTATGTCTGGGAACAAGGTCTGAGAGGACAATGCATGGGCACAACTGTATCCCAAACCCCAGTAACTACTCAGCTGCCTGTTACTGAGGTATCCTCCCATCTCATTTGTGAAACTGTTAGCTAATTTTAATCTAAATTTGAAAAAAGAACAGGTTTTCTTGGAAGAATTTTTATACCTGTCTGCAGCTGCAGAAACTAAGTAATAAATGATATAACTGGATAATTTATCAAGAATCCTGAAAAAATGTAAACACAATTTGTGTTTTGTTTAGGGAAAGAGTCTCACTATGTTATTCAGCTCTGCTTCAAAACCCTAAACTCAGGCAATCCTTCTGCCTCAGCCTCACAAGGAGGGGAACACAGGGTCATGCCTGGTAAACCTCAGGCTCTCATTGGGGTTATTAGTTTGCCTTTCTCAACTACAGCTGCAATTATTGGGAAGAAGCAAAGTAGCACACGGTTAAAACAATATACGATCAGTCATTAAGTTATGGTGACGGTTTATATAAATGACATACTGGCTAGAGACAAAGACTCTTAGATATAAGTTTGACAAGACACTACCTTTAAACAGATCTATTTATTCTGAGGTAGGGTTTCCCAAGTAGGAAACAGTAACAACAGTAGAGAAAGGACCCTGAAAGGCATCTCTGGTCTCTTCTGTTCGTTCGTAACTGTCTCATAAAACAGCTGTTTGAAGGTTTGATGCTATGCAAAATAAATCATCAGTTGTTTTTCTGAAATTGAGTGTTCTACATTCTCTGGCTTCAGGGCCTCCTTTGTTTCTTATATAACTGTGAGCAATCATTCCAGACATTTTTAAGTTGTACAAATGTTCAAATAAAGTTTTAAAAAAATGTACTCCCTTTCAGTTGTGACCTTACTAAGTTTAGCAAACTCTCTGGTCCTGGAAGGCACATATTGAATATAAACAAAGCTTTACTGGCATGAAGTCAATTTATAAACACAAACTAGTCAGAAGCAGGCAGCTTCAAGCAGTCCTCAGAGTCCAGACATCCACCAGTAATGTGAAAGGCCTCCTACAACTGAACTGAGCCGCATAAGCAATCAGGAGTGTTTGATTATTAATTTACAGCGGCAACAAACTGCTAAGGCACTAAAGCCAAATTTCAGCTCTAAACTTTCAGATGCAGAATACTAACATACATAATTAAAATACTTATTGCATTCAGCCTCACAGTCATATGGACAAAGTACTTACTCCATCTCCAGTAGGGACTTGCCCGTTGATGTTAAGAGTTCGGAAGGGCGAGTGTGTGGATAAGCGCTTGTCCCACTCGCTAGGCCGTGGCTCGGGTACCGATTCCATAAAGTTCTTTTTTAGTTCACTGATGCTGGCATGATGCTTTTTGATTTCTTCTTGACTCTTGTCTAAATCCTACAGTTGAAAGGACAAAGATGTAAAATAATAAATAATTGGGACAAAAACACACCAGAGGCAACCTATCAGAGACTGGGCACTGGTAGAAAACACCACATCCAGGGCAGACGTTACTGGCCTGTATTCTGCATTAGGACTGCAAATATACAACACTGTTTGTCTCTCTTCTTTCTTTCTTTTTAAACAAAGTGCTGTGCTTGGAAGCAGTGAAGCATCACAATCCCACAGCTCTTGGAGGTTAAACTGCCCACAAAGAGCTTGCTCCTTAGTTGTGTAACTCCTCTTCCACAAAGGGTGCAAGACCAGACCTCCACCTCCTCACCCTGAAAAGGCAACCTCACAGTTCAGTTAGCTCACCTCGAGGAGAACTGCCTTAGGCTCAGCTCAGGCAGGATGGAGATAGCAATAAGGAAACTGATGAATGACAGACATGGTAAATGACCTCAACTTCCACTAGCTGCTGTCCTTGGTGAGCTGCAACACTGCAGAGTTCCTCTCTGTCCACTGCAATACTTTTACTCCTCTATTACTAATACTTTTTTGGATTTAAAAATTTATTACTAAAATCCCTAGTTCTAGCCTCCAAAAGTCAATTGTTATTACTGCTAAAAAATAAAATGGCTTTAAAGATACTTTTTTCAAAATAATTCATGTGCATCTGCAAGTGCAGGTCAGAGGACAAACTCCAGGATCCCCCTCAGAAACACTGTCTACCTCTCTTAAAGTAGGGTCTCTCATTGGCCTGGAACTGTTAGCCAAGGGTGGGGCTGGCTGGTCACTAAGTCAGGGATGCTGCTGTGTTCACTCCCCCCAGCTCTGGGATTACAAGTATGCACTTCCATGCCCAGCACACACACACAAGAAAACCTCAAAAGTTTGAGTTTCAAGTCACAATAGCTGGAACCTGAAGCTATAAAAACAATCTTGTGTTTATTTCCCATCAGAGCGGCATTATATCTAAGAAAAGCATGATGCCAAATAGATCTCCCTACATGCCATGTGAACTTTGGGATTTATCTATTTTTGGCACTGTGGGAAATAATTTCATTTTGGAAAATAAAAATAAAAACAAAATAAAGTGAATTTAGTTTTTGAACATGTATTTACAAGTTTTTTTTTGTTTTTTTTTTCTACAAGCAAGGAAGATCCTAACTAAATAAAACTTTCTCCAAACCACCATCAAAGAGAAAACAATAAAAAACCCAGGAACTCACATGAAATCTGGAGTTGCTCCTTCAAAAAGTCATAAACTAGTCTCTTTTTTGTTTTTGCAAGACTGACCCATGTATATCTGCATAGAGTGCAAAGAGAAAACTAACCTCCAAAGTAAGTGTAGCTCCCACAAAGAGCATTCTTGCTTACTAAGAAGAAAGTATATCCAGAGGGGCGGGGGTGCCCTAATCAGATGAAGAAAAACATGTAGGAACTCAGTCTTAGCTCAGCAACCCAGACTCATCAGGCTTGTGAGAGTGTCACCCATCTCCTCACTGGTGTTAAATCTGTTTTGGCCAAGAACAACTGAGCACATTTATGATGATTAAAAGTATAAACAAGGCAAAACAAAAACAACTAAGATACACTGTGATAAACACAATGCTGATCTGTAACTCTTCTAGCATAGCTTTTGATTGATTTGGAGCCTGAGAAAGATACAGTTTTCAATAAAACTGTAGCATCTGAGGGAACTTTCTCCATCCTTCTTAGCTGGCTTTGTGGAAACCTGTGGGGGCACAGAATAAAATTAAGATCTCAAAGGGACCTGTTCCAAATAGAGTTTGTCATAGACATTTGCTACAGGTTCTCTCTGGGAGCTGGAGGAGGAGGCGGCAGATCTAAAAATGAACTCGACCTTATTTGTGCCAGAACAAAGCGTTAGTGGGGGTTTGATAAGAGAAGGTGGGAAGGGATGCTTAAAAAAAAAACTGCCAGAGTTACAGATAACCTGAGAGAACTTCCTTAGGGGCATTTTTAAATAATAACTAAGGAATGAAGGTCAAATTATGTCATGCTATGTTCAGGTTAGATAATTTTTGAGGGCTATCATCTTATGATTTTAGCAGCAATAAGACCAAACACTTTGTTAAATGTAAAATGTTCTCAAAAGGCAGTTAGTAATTTTAAATTCCAAACACACACTTATTCAGAAATCCCCTCCCAGGGCTCTCAGTAAAATGCCACGGAAGAAAACACAGCATAACACAGGAATTCTGTGAGTCTCAGAAGCCACAACACACCTCGTGGAATGAATGACAAATATATGATTGGCACAACAGGTTCAGGGAATGTGCGTATTTAGAGTGCGGAGATGTTGCACTGAGAAGAGGTGATCACCAAACTAGTCTTGTCTTGTCCTTCCTAATCTCCAAAGACAACAATTCAGGCCTCAGATATGGGATAGATAAAGACAGCCAGTTTCCAAGTTTGAAGTAAGAGTCTGACCTTAGAAATTTAATGTCATATAACACATATATATATATATGTAAAGCACTTGGCATTGTGTCTATCATTGAATATGTAATTAATGAAGGCCATCCATAATTTTTATTATTTGTATTAAAGTACCTTATGTAGCAGATATTAAAAGTATAGTTATCAACAAAAAATGAAAAAATGAAATGAGATTAAATCTTTACAGGCCACATTAGTAATGAGAAATCGATTTTTAACATAAGTTTGGGCCTTTTTTTGTTGGTTTTTGTTTTTGTTGAGACTAGGTCTCATGCATCCCCTGACTGGCCTTAAAATAGAGAGTTGAAAATGACTTGACTCCCAGTCTCAGCTTCATGGGTGTGGGGAATAAAGATGTCCTACCATGCCTGACCAGACCTATTTTTTTTTTTACAGTATTTTCAATCTTTCATATTGGAGATATTTAATACATGGCTCTCCTTTCAGGTCTCAATTAAATGCCATCTCACTGGACACAATGGCACACTCCTGCAATGCCTTCAGGAGGCCAAGGCAAGATGGTTATTGAAAATGCTAACTTCATAGAGACCTCGTTGTTTTAGAGTAGATTGCCTGAAACAAGGCACAGCGTTCACCTGCTACAGTTTCCCCAACAGCTTGTAACTGTGCAATGCTCTTCACTCATCTTTATCCCTCTCCCCTCAGTTCCCCACACTGCAAGCTTCCTGCAAGCAAAAACCATGTTGGTTGTTTCCTTCACAGGGAAGCTACCTCCCCATGAGAAGAGTTTACACTCATTTCTTTTGGTTCTGCCTTGAGTTGTCTTCAACTTCTATACTTCAATGTCAACTTCCTGGTGTACAAATTATACTGCTCTTCCTTTCTTCTACAGAGAATAACTCCAATTTCCATAATTTTTCTCACTGAGTTCCTCTAATCTCCAATTTGGTTTTGCATTTCATATCCAATGTGTAGCTCTAGCCTAGATAAAGTATATGAATTGAGCTAAAAGTCCGGTTACTACTGAATGTAATAGGAAAAGGACCTTAGAACTCCTTCTTGCTTATGTCTTCCTTTTCCTTCCGGTTTCCTTTAGTAATCTTGTGCTATCTCCAATGAGTAAGCCCTTACTAACTGTGATCACTTTCCCTCTTTTTTGATACTCTTCTCAGTTCAGGAAAAAAAGAAAAAGAAAAACAGTGCAAATTTGTTTCCTGGGACATTTAGAGTTTTTATATTCTTGGAAAATTCAAGAAACTTGTAACAATGATGTTTGAATGTTCTGAAAGGGGGTAAAATAGCAGGACCGTGAGAGGGAGAGACAGCTCCAATCATATATTTTTCTAGATAGTATGAGAGATGGAAACTAAAAGTTAGGAGAGATGATTGCATATCTTCGTGTTTACCAACATGCAAAAGCACTTTAAACCTAAAAATCTCACATGCAGTGTCATGCAAAACCAAACGCAGCATAGAATGAAGGGAATCAGCAAAGAATGCAGAAGGTTCCAGGCAACCAACTGAAATAAGCTTCAAGTTCATACAAACCTCCAACATTAAATTGCTATGTCTGATATAAATGTTTTCACCATCTAGTCTCTCTCTCTTTTTCTGTGAAAATGAAAGGGGGAAAAAAACAGAAGCATAAAAAATTAAAATGTTGTTCTTGCAGGGGAACAAATTGCAAATTGGCAAACAAAAACAAAAAACATTTCAAAGTAGATGTCTGCAATGCAGCATATGCCAACATGAAATGGTCACGGAACTACAAGGACACACAGAGAGCATGGTTACCAGAAAAGAATGGATGACTTTTGTCTATAAACAATGGAAAGCTGTGATGATGTTATTTAAATAGACAGTGCTCCTGGCTTCTTAGCTTCTAACACAATAGGCTGGGGGGTTTTGTTTATTATTTGGGTTGGTTTTTGTTTTTTGGTTTTTTTTTTTGAGACAGGGTTTTTCTGTGTAGTTTTGTAGACCAGGCTAGCCTCGAACTCACAGAGATCCATCTGTCTCTGCCTCCTGAGTGCTGGGTTTAAAGGCATGCGCCACCACCACCTAGCTGCTCAATAAGCTGTTTTATATTTGTTTTTGAAATTGAACTATTTGAATATTACCCTTTGATATATGTATATAAATACATACATATATCTCATCATGTATCATGGAGTGGAGAAATTCTGTATTTAAAAAATTAGCTTTCTGGAAAGTTTTATACTTATGAATACTGGAATATCTGGAACTCTACAGTGTTCTGTATTCAAACAGGTAACAAGTATATCCAATAAGAACTGGTCCATCCCACTCTGAGGTTGGGAAATAAGCAAGCAGCAGTTAAACTCACACTGTTAATGCTAGAAGATGCTGCTGTGGTGGCTTTTGTGATAAATGTGTATAAAATGCTAATGTATGATGCCATTGGGAAAGTTCTTGTAAAGTTTGAATATGAAAGATAGACCTGCCCCTCACAACTGCATTTTGTTAAGCTATTTCTCTGCTGAAAGCTTACTTTGATAAAACCAGTCAATAAACAGTGGAAGGTTCTAACTTCTTTGCGTGCATACATATATGTGTGTAAATACTCATCACAACTATATTGTTTGAAGGCTCCTCACACACTGACTGGCTCTCTAGAAGTAATTCCTATTGAGGAAAATCAAGGGCTGGACCACTGTCTTTTTAACACACTGTCATCAGCATGGTGAAATGGCAGCGTAGTTGTGTGAAAGCAGAAAATGGCTAACCTTCCTCATTCTTATCAGATCTTCAGTTTTTTCTGCAGGCTTCTGTTTGGTCACAATTCAATAAAGGAAAAAAAAGATAAAATATTGGCTCATTGAAGTCTGTCTGAACCTTTTATTTGTTTTTAAAGAAAGCGGAATGGGGGAGAATTTAAAACTGAGGGGGGGAGGGGAAAGGGACAAGTGGCCTGTTGGCACAAACCTGTGTTTGGTCACCGTTTGAGGTCGGTACTGTGACCTCCATGTGGGTTTTTTCCACCTACATTTAAGAAATAAAATTGAAAACATTTTAGGTTAGCAGGCTTCCTTAAATAGTTAAACAGCTTCATAAAGCTGGGGGTTAAATGTGCTGAAAAATGATCACAACAGGGAAGGTTTTACTCCCAGTGCAATCTGTTAGTTCATCATCAGAGATTCAAGGCTGAAGTGGTAATATGGATAGCCAAATTACCAAAAAGGAAAACTGGGTTAATGATTCTGTTGATGAAAAAACAATTTTGATATTTATTTATATAAAAAAGTACCCACTAAAGCAATAACCTGGAAAACTTTAATGTGTGTGTGTGTGTGTGTGTACATATCATGGCACTTGTGTGTAGGTCAGAAGACAATCTCAGGTGTCAGTTTCACCTTCTACCTTGCTTAAGACAGGGTCTCTCTTGCCCACTGAAATGTGTGTCATATCTTCCTGACTGTGCCTCACAGACACGAGTGTTACTGCATGTGGCTTCTTATGAAAGCTCGAGGACTTGAAGTCAAGCAAACACTCGATCCACTTAGTCATCTTCCCAGCCTTAGAAGTACTTTAAATCATATTTAAGAACAGATTTATAAACAGAGATGTAAATGTGTAATGTACACTATAGAAATAGTTTTTATAGTTAAAACACACGTATTAAAGCACGTAAAACACCAAACAGGTAAATACAAGAGTCTGTTAGTTGATCAATACATTTAAGGTGACGATTTTACTCTTCATTTTTTCGAAAGAGAGCGCATCAAAACAAATTACAAATAAACTGAAACTGACGCATGCAACTATTCCACCTCGCCTGTAACATCCAACATTGCAGTCTCCTCTCTAGGAAGCCGGAACCATGTGTTTGGCAGAAGGGCAAGATTTATGCTCAGTAGTAGGAGATGAATACTATCTTAGGGACGCCTGTGTATCTTTGAAAAACCTCTAGAAATAACCATCTTATATTCAGAAACGGGAGAAATTATATAAAAACCTGATTATGACAAGGAAATACAATAGGGTGAGTACTGAATGAAGCGCCATGTATTTCAAATTTAGAAACTAAATTGTCTTTTCTAAGGGTTAAATCAGTTTTGTTATATTACACATTTTTTACAAGCCTCATCAACTTGTGGTTTTGACATATTCTTTTAACTCACACAAAAGCAGCACTGCTCTGGAGAACAAAGTCACTGTGCTATTTTTCCTAGGTTAAATATAAAAAACATTAGGTAATACCAGACTTTGTAACACTGCCAAACATACAAACACATTCAACCATGTCACTTCTAACTACCAGGAGTAATTAACAATTGGGTCATTCTGGTCTAGATCCCAGAGAACAAGTTACTTCACTTGTCTGAGCTTAACTTTTCTTAAGTAATAAAATGAAGAAAACATCTGTCTTTGGTTTGTTTGTTTGTTTGTTTGTTTGTTTTTGAGACAGAGTTTTACTATGTAGCCTAGGCTGGCCTTCAACTCCATTTCCCAAGATCTGGAATTACAGACATGTGCCAACATGCCCAAATTAAAGCAGACATAATGTCTTCATAAAATTATGTATACTCTGCAAATACTAGTTTTAAATTATTTCATAAATCTTAAGTTCCTTGTTTAAACAATAACATTCTTCTGGGTCTTTAGTAATCTAACAACAGAAAATGGAGAGCCACTACTTCATTCTAAGAATTAAGGCCAAAAAGACGGGAGCAGCGGTGCACACCTACAGTCCCAACTACCAGAGAGAACAAGGCAAAAGAATTTTGTGAGTGCAGGAGTTTAAGGCTTGCCTGGGAAACAAAAAACCCACTTCATTCTGCCAAAACTCCAAAAGCAAAAGGAACCTATTTTTGAAGTACCTGCATGTTTTATGGGCAAAAGGAAAACAAATAGCGAGATAGCAGAAGACCAGAGGCATCTTAAGAGCCCCCAACAACTGCAATAGCCTACACAGTCAGAGGGTTAGATGATAAATTCTAACATTAAAAACCAAGTAGGTATTCAAAGACCACACAGAGCCTGAAGACTAATGTCATGGGCACCAGGCTAGTTACAAAAGTGCAAAAGTTCACCATTCATTTACTCAAAGACAGAGAAATTTAACAATTAAAAAAATTAGCTATCTACTGTTCTACATTAAATCAGACATTGATCTGGTTCCAAAAGAACAGGCCGTAACATAAAATATCTTTATTTTTTGTTGGTTTTTTTTTTTTTTTTTGGTTTTACGAGACAAGGTTTCTCTGTATTGTTTTGGAGGCTGTTGGTCTAGCCTGGCCTCGAACTCACAGAGATCTGCCTACCTCTGCTTCCCAAGTGCTGGGATTAAAGGCATGCGCCACCAACGCCCAGCTATTTTTTGTTGGTTTTTTGAGACAGGATTTCTGGCTGTCCTGGAACTTGCTCTGTAAACCAGATTGGCCTCAAACTCAGATTCACCTGCCTCTGCCTCCCGACTGGGCAGAGGTGCTGGGACTAAAGGTGTGTGCCACCACTGCCACCAGACAGTGAAATGTCATTATTATGAAGGCCTTTTCTCATAGTCCCTTAACAACAGTGAGACCTGCATCTACTTTAAAACAGACCTAGACTAGCACTGTGTAATGTTATTTTAAAAGCTTGAAACTATAAATAAGACCATCCCATTCATGAGTTCTTGGAGATTTGCTAGTTAACTGGTGATTTTTCCAGCTCAGTGCAAGGATTATGAGTATATTCAACTCAGCAGCACAACTTCTACCACACAACAGATCTTCTCTGTATCCAGTTGTGTACTGTCTAAAGAACTGGACTGGAGAGATGATCAGCGATTAAGAGCACTGGCAGCTCTTGCAGAGGACCTGGGTTTGACTCTCCGCACCCACATGGTGACTCATACTGTACTCTAGTTCCATACTGATGCCGTCTTCTGACCTCTAAGGGCACCAGGCATGCACATGGTACACATACATAAATTCAAGCAAAGCACTCATATACATAAAATAAAAAAATAACCCTAAAAAAATTAGAAAGGATTTAAATATCTATATAAATGTGCTTGATGCAATATCATTTGGAAATCAAATTCTACAAAAATATACAAGAGGTTGATGAGAGACGATTTCTTTCAGAAACGAGAAAAAGCAACTGTGTTGGGCATCTATAAGGTTCGGTAGCTCTGAAAACATCTGTAGCTCAGAACGTGTGTAGCTGAGGTGAGGTTTCTAAGACACACCTTCCAGGCCTCTGTGGGCTCCGGCTCCGCTGGCTCAGCTGGCTCCTCCTCCCCTCTCACTTCAGCCTTCGCAGCCTCCTTCTGTGTCTTTTTGACAGGGGCCCCGGGCCCTTCTGTGACCTGACTCTGAGCAATGGCTGGTGCAGAGGTGGGCCGAGGACTCCGGTCTGTGGACTCAGCAGCTGCTGCTAAGTGAGGAAAGAAGAGAACAGATGAAGGCAAGTGTCATTGTCCTGACCTTAAGTCCAAGGTGAAACTATGAGTCCTGTATTTATCATATAGAAGGCAAAACACAAACCATTAGTGCTTTTCAAGGTACCTGATGGCAACAAGGCAAAGGCATCCACAACAGAGAACTAGGACATCTTAATGACTATTTCATAAATGCTGAATTCGGGGGCAGACTGAAGGAAGGAAGCAAAACCATTTAATTTATAATCTACTAGTTGAAAAAAAACTTACAATGAAGGGTGGATTCAGGATGGCTCTCAAAATAAGCCTTTTTTGAAATAAGTATCTGTTTGCCTTTAGATAGTTTCAAGAACCTAAGCATGTGATTTAAGGGGGGGGGGAATGAAGTCTGTTTTCTTGTTTTTGTTTTCAGTGAAGCCTCTACAGAATGATTACAAAATGACTGATAAATGGCTCTTCCAGTAAGATAGGGACTACTACTGCTTGATGTGTTTGAAGGCAAATCTTTGAGTCAGGCATTCTTCTTTAGTAAATCATCTGATTAACATTAATTAAAAACTTCTCTCATCCAAAAACAAAGAATAAGCTAATGGAACCCCCTCCCCACCTTACCAATTCTTACAGCCTATTCTCTAGAGTACAGAACACTGGTTCTCAACCAGGGCTTATTCCCCCCCCCCACCTCCACCCCCTGCCAGGGCATATTTGACAATGTCTGGAGATGTTTTTGGTTGTCACAACTGGGATGGAGAGAGAAAGGAGGTGCTGACATCTAGTGCATAGAGGCAAAGGTTGCTGAGGCTAAGAAACCCTAGTTAGGGGAGAAGCCTGCCTAGACTACTTTGGATAGAATAAACAATACAGGCTGACAATAAAAACTTCTGCACATACTTAGCTGCGCTTGGGTTTGAACTATTTGGCATCTATGCTTTAGGTAACTTAATTCAAAACAGGAATTGGAGCTATAGCTCAGTGATAGACTGTTTGCCTAGCAAGCAGGAGGCCCTAGGTCCCATTCCCAACATCACAAAATAAAACAAGAAACAGTCGCCAGGTGGTGGTGGCGCATGCCTTTAATCCCAGCACTCGGGAGGCAGAGGCAGGCGGATCTCTGTGAGTTCGAGGCCAGGCTGGACCGATAGCCTCCAAAACAATACAGAGAAACCCTGTCTCGTAAAAACAAAACAAAACAGAAAGAAATAAAACAAGAAACAGTCATTTTTAGCTTTTAACCTTCATTTTTTTCTGTTAGGGTTTAAAAGAAAATATACATACATTTTGTAACAAACCTTACTAATTAGATACTGTTTAAGAAAGTACATTTTTAAAAATGTGATTTAGTTTTTTTTGTTGTTTGTTTGTTTGTTGTCTTCTCTATATAGCCCTGGCTGTTCTGGAACTCAGTATATAGACCAGGCTGGCCTTGAACTCTCAGAGATCTGCCTGCCTCTGCCTTCTGAGTGCTAGGATTAAAGCATGTGCTATCACACCCAGCTTCAATATTTCATTTTAAAATTGTATTTAATTTCTATAACCAGTGTGCCTGTGTGTACAGATGCACATGTCACAGAGTGTGTGTGGAGGTCAGGGGATAACCCTGGGCATTGATTCTTTCCTTCCACTTTGGGATCAGGGAGTGAACTTAGGCAGTCAGGCTTGCATGCCAAGTACTCTTACCCACTGAGCCATCTCAATGGCTCTGATTACTATTTCTGATAATGGGCCATCATCCTTTCTTGTACTGAGACTTTTAGTTTGATATCATGAAAACCTCACAATTTTGTTGTGTACTTTCCTTCGTCTTCAGACTACTGAATGTAATTTATTCTGATACATTTAGATTTATAAACTTTAAAAATGAAGCAAAACAAAGGAATTTTTAAAGCTAGAACAGACTGAAAAATGGAAAGTTACAACTATCTTATACATATGATACCAAGAGAGAAACACTTATTAACTTATTATCCTGTAATGGTCTCCAGAGAAAGAATTTCTCATAGGATGCCTAGCAGAAGAACAGCAGAAACACAGAGCCTGTTTCATCTTGCAATGATAGATCTGTGGCCGTTTGCAAGTCCCTGTTGCTAATGGGTGCTCTCAGCTAGTCAATGCAAGAGTGGCAGATGGCAAAGCAAACCTAACAAACAAGGGAAATGACAAAATATTTTTCTCTCAGTTGTGTTAAAGCCTCATATTACATGTGTGTTCACACCTCCTCTCCAAGAATTAATTCAACCCTGCCTGGAACCGCAGAGACAGAGCCCTTGCTTTCATCATGTGCTATTCTGCCACATGAATTTGGTCCTAATCCAATACTAATACTGCAGAGCCAAATAATTTATGTCTTCGGCATTCCTGCTGTGTATGGGAAAGTGGACACAAATACAGAAACTAATGGTTAGACACAGAGGTGGCAACAGTTCAGAAACTGGAAAATACCAGTGACAGTGAAGGTTTCTCACTAAGAAGAGCAACAGGAAACAGGCAAGATCCAAACATCCCTGAACGTCACACGTGAGCCTCAGTGACAAACAGTGGTGCTAGGACAAGAGACTTGAGTTTCCTCATCCATGGAGTATGGGAGACACTAACTGTAGGGGAGTTGAGGAAAGAATATTCAACAGATAGAAAAATATTTAATAAATTCTAAATATTAGTAACTTTTAACATCATACTCCAGTCCTTATATTTACTTTTCATAGGCTACTATTTCAAGACTATGTTGGGCAAAATCATTATGCATAAGTGGCATAAAATTCAAATGAAGGATATCACTTAGGAGCCCTTGAGAAAAACAAACTTTCTTCATTTTCACAGTAAGGAGACTGCAAACTATAGATCACAATAAATATGGTAGGTTTTCTTTTTTTTAAACAGCTTTATTGGGATATAATTTACATATTGTACAGTTTGCTCATTTAAAGGATAATTAAAGGTTTAGTAGTATGTGTGAGGTTTGTTTCTAAGATGTTTAGCTTGGACTGGGGAGGGGACTCAGCTGGTAATGTTGCTGTGGTGCAAGCCTCAGGACCTGATTTCATATCCTCAGCACCCATGCACCAGCTAAGTAACATCTGTAAATTTAGCCCTGGGTTGGGAAGCAGATCTCTGGAGCTCACTGACCCGCCAACCTATCAAATTGGTAAGCTCCAGGTTTAGTGAGTGACCCTGTCTCAAAATATAGGTGGAATGTGTTCATGGAAAGCACTTGATGTCAATCTCCGGCCTCCATGTGCATTGTGCAACATGCCTACTGCCGCACACACTTGTGCACGTACATACTTTAATTCAGGGCTAGAACATAGCTCAATGGCAGAGCACTTGCTTAGCATGCCTACGGTCCTGGGTTTGATCCTTTGTACCAAGAAAAAGATAAATGATAACTGGCTTTGAGCCTTATTACTTCATTTTTTAGCTATTACAGATTCTGAAGTCTGGACCCAGAACACTTAACTAACAGTGAGTGTCTTCCAAGTCTGAAGGTCCTGATCAAAGTGCTGGTGCTGACACTCATAGCATCACTGATTTCAGATATCATGCCACTGACAAGAACAGAGGCAGACTTGGATGAGGTGCCATTATTTCCTTTGTGTGTGTGTGAGAGAGATGGGGTGTGTGAACATTAGTGCAGGTACCTGCAGAGTCCAGAAAGTTTGGAATCCCCTGGAACTAGAGTTATAGGTAGTTGTAAGCTACCTGATGTGGGTGCTAGATATTGAACTCAGACTACATGCTCTTAACCAACAAGACATCTCTCCAGTCCTAATTTTTTTGTTGTTGATGTTTGGGGTTTTTTGTTTTTCGAGACAGGATTTTTCTGTGTAACAGTGCTGGCTGCTGTTTTCCATCTGCAGCCGCTGCACCTAAATCTACCGCTACTTCAGCCAGTAATTGGGGCGCTGCAGTTACAGCTTGCATCTCAGGCAGAGACCCAGTGGGACTTTTACATCCTGCCAGATCCGCCTCCTGCCACTGCCCCAAGTGTAGTTTTTAACTAAATCTCTATCATTCTATTTATCAGTAAGGCCCAGGAGTTAGAGGCTGGGGTGAAAACCTGCTAGCTCAGAGAGGTTGAGGAACAACTATCTGACCTTTGTAGTTTCTCAAAAAGAGAGTGTCCTTCTGCTCGGCCAAACCAAAAAAGCCTGTCATACTCAAGGTCCCTCCCTACAACTTCCTGTGCGTCTCTCTACTCATCTTCCAGGCTCCCTCTGACACAGAGAAACCCTGTCTCAAAAAAAAAACAAAAACAAAAAACAAAAAAACAAAACAAACAAACATTTGCTGGGATGGCTTAAAATAAAATCCTTAAGAAAAAAAAAGTTTAAAGTTGGGTTTAGTTAAGTGGTAAAATATTTGACTGCAGAAAAATTTTAGGCAATCTATAATACACGTGGTTTCTGTAAATAATTTGTTTAACTTACGAAAGACCATTAACATTTGAATTTTTAATTTTGGCTATGTGAAAGAAATGTCACATCAGACTCAGTGTCTATATAGCTCTAAAATACCCGTGGTGACCATGATAAGTGGTGTCAGACAGACCTGGGTTTTTGTCCACACTCTTTGCATGTTACTATCTGTGAGATGTCTGAGCAAGTCACAGAGACTTTCCACCATCAGTTTTCATATATGAAAAATAGCTTTGAAACCTAGCTCCACACACGGAAGCTCAACTGGAGGTCAGGGCTTACTGGGTAAGGAACAAGCTCCCCGTAGTATCACATGAATACAGCAAAGGTACGGAGGTAGAGTGACAACACCAAACAGAAACCTGGCTTCCCTACATCCCAGACTCTGCCTCCTTGTGGAGTCTCTCCTTCCACCAAATGATAAAACCCAGGAATAAAACTTGAGTTTCTTTTCCTTGCCATTTCCAATACTTTATTAGCAATGCTGTTAGCCCTACTTCTAAAATGAATCCTTAACTGCTTTCCACTGTAGTAGACATTACTTAAGCAAGCTGTCATCATCTCTCACCCACATTCCTCTCTCCTATGTTTACTAGAATTTACACCTGTGCTGTTCAGATAATTGTCACATGTAGCTTGTTTTGTTGTCTTAAATGGAAAGCTCAGTTCCTCAGCAGCAGCCACATTTCTGGCTATTAACAACCATATACCGTAGTTCTGAATCAACAACACATTTCCATTGGCACAGAAAGTTCTATGGGTTAGACAAAGCTCATTCCTCCCTTCAAGGACTTGCTACTCTTTCATCTGGAGTATTCCCATCTAGACTTTGGGATTGCCAGTTATGACTCACAGTTCAGATCTCAACTAACTGGCATTCTTCTGGGGAACCTTCTGAATTTAACTGATTACCTAATCTGAAACAGCCCCTCCATTTCTCTGCCTGGGGACACATTTCTCTCATTTTATTTTCTTCATAGCACTCATGACTACCTGAAGCTATTTTGTTTTATTTGTTTCTGTCTCTACCTATGGAATGAAAACTCCATGAAAAAAGAAGCCATATTTGATTCCCATAACAGTATCTCCAGGGAACACTAGGTACATAGGAAATGTAAAGCAAGTGACTGAACAAAGTAAAAAATGAGTTAAATACTTATATAAATCTATTGCTATTCATCCATTGCTGCCTTGTAGTCAAACTTCAGTTCTCATTTTCTTAAGATGGTTTTCTTAACACTGTTGTTGGGTTTTTTTGTTTGTGCATTTTTGAGGCAGAGTCTCACTACGAGCCCTGGCTGCCTAGAACTCTCTGTGTAGATCAGGCTGGCACAGAGCTCCACCTGCTTCTGCCTCCGAGTGCTGGGAGTGCTAGGGTCAAAGGCTCACAGCACCCCGCAGCCTGGCTTTCTTAGGTCTGAATTAGACAGGAGCACCCCTTTCACTGTACCACTGAGGTTCCCTGGAAATCGAAGGTAGTTGGATTCTCTTACAAATAACCACACTTCCCAGGTGAGCAAGCTGGCATGTCTGCAACCCCAGCACTAGGAGGTCAGGACAGGAGGCTAAGGAGCTTGGGGCCAGTCTGAGATATGGTACATTCTTCTCTCAAAACAATACAAAGAAAAAACAAACAAACAAACAAACAAAAACCCCTTATACTTCTTTTATCTTTCCCTAAAGGTCACAATAATATCTAATACAAACCTCCGTCAAGGCTCCGGGATGCTCGTTTGCTTGCTGTCCGCTCAAAGTGCGGAGCAGGCCTGTCAATCAGAGCACTGGCTTGCCTGGTCTGCGCTTGAGTCCGGCCACTGTATCGAAACTTAGATCCCAGGGCAAGAAATTTACTTTTGGGAATGGTATCTGTAGAAGTCAGTCTGGGAGAGAAAAAAAATCATGATTGTGTTATTTTATTGCGCTGTTTTATAATTGTGATTATAAAACTAAAAATCAACCAAGAATAAAAAAGCTTCCAAGCTCTTGTGGTTTATTTTAGTAGTTAAGAGATTTCTAGTCAAGCAATCTTTATTGTAAGTCTATGCCATATCTCAAGCAACCAGAATTAATTTAGTTGGGACCTATATAAAAACACTGGTTTTCAAAATGGCTGATAGCACTGTAGGCTTTACACTACATCCTTGATGTTTTCATTACTTTACACACAGGATATTGAAATATTCCAGGATGAAGTTACTTACTTAAGGCTACAAAGCCATTAGGAGGCTGGACTGTAACAACCCATGCCCAGAACTGAGTTCAGCTGCTGTGAAAGCAACCAGAGCCCCTAAAAAGCACCAGGTCACCTCACTTCTGCTGTTCTGTTATAGTGCATGGAAAGGCACTCTGGGAATGCTGGGACATGCTTTCCAACCAAATGAGGGAGGACTAGATTCACTTTCCTTGATTAGTTTCCTTGATTCGCTCTCCCTGAGCTAAACAAAATGCCAGCCCTACAGAGAAGACAATTTCAATAGCAGGTTCAAAATAAATATGCACAAATAACATGTCCTTGAGAACTGCTTGATCGAGAACAATACCTGAAAAACGTGTGATGCTCCACACAGACTTTCCATAGTTTCTTAGCTGCTCGGTAACTGGGAAGCTTGAAGCCAATGGTACTTTCATATTGCTCTTGCTATTAAGATACAAATTAAAACAAAACGTAAGTATTATTCAATTATAGTGACACAGAGCCAGAGAAATATGATACCACCAAAGAGATGTTTTAAACACAAAGAATGTCTTGGGGTTGCAGAGATGGCTCAGTGGTTCCAGAGGACTAGGGTTCAATTTCCAGACCCCACATGGTGGCTCCACACCCCGGGATCAACACACACTCTTCTGACCTCCATGGGTACTAGGCATACATGTGGGGACAGACACACATTCAGGCAAAACATCCATATATACAATATTTTAAAAAAAAATGTTAACTAAATTTTTTCTTACTAAAAGAAATCTGCTCACCGAGGGAGGTGTTTTCTAAAGCCAAAAAGCCAGGAAATATGTCTTCTATTACTTATGAATCTTTTTTGTTTTTTAGAACATACACAATACACAGGAATTCTTATGACACATACTTTAGTCAACTTTTGACTTTTAGAACTGCTTTTCTTTAGGCACATACCTACATTTGTAACTTTAGATTACTCAATAATTGAGGAATGAGACAGCCAGTCATTTCTCCAGCCGGTCAATATTATTAGCAATAGGAATGAGTAATGGGAGCTAAACATTTATCTTAAACAAGATTACTTTTTTCTTTTTTAAGTCAGGATCTCATTATATTGCCCTAACTAGCCTGGCTATGTAAATCACAGAGCTCTGGAATTAAAGATGTATGTCTCCTTATCCAGCCCAGATTCTTTTTAATTTTTAAAGTGACAAGTAAAAATTACAAGTACTGACAGTGTTCAGCATGTTTGGTATATGCATATATTGTAGAACAACCAATGAAGCAAACTGGCATATAGACTAACTCACAAGTCTTCTTGTGTGTGTCGTGTGAATACTTAAAACTCATCCTCACAGTGACCTTTTTTGGGGGGCGGGGAGGGGGGCGTCAGTGTTAAAGATTAAATCAGGCCTCACACATGCTAATGTACCTCTTAGCAATTTTCAAGAACACATTCATTTGTAACCTATAGTCAACACATGTAACCTATAGTCACCACATTATGCAGTAAGTTTCTGACACGTCTTTCCTTGGTTTTGGATGATTACAAGTTTCCTTTTTCTGTTTAACTGACCTGTGAAGACCTTTCCGGCTGAAGTAAACCATACTGGAAATGCAAGGACTACTAGAAACGCATGCTTTTGGTTTGACCCCTTTGTTTCTACCTCAAGTACACTTTGTAAGATGGAGAAGGAAGCAGGATTGCTGAGTATGTTATTGCCAGTCACGGTATGACTAGACACCACGACTATACATGAAGAAACTGAGCGCAAAGAAGTTACCTGCTCACTCAGCTACACAATGGAGCAACTCTGTGCTGCAGTCATAGCACTCCATTTTTCAGAGTCCTGCTGTTCTCAACTGCTTTGAAAAAATTATGTATTTTCACTATATATTAGATAGTTGACACTTCAAAGGCAAGGACTTCCTATAACATTTATTAACATTTCTGTGCATGTACATTTTTCTCCTTTCTTACATTAAAATGCAAGCTGGTTGAAGAATGACGTCTTTTAACTTACTGTTATATTTAGAGTCACTAGAACAGTCACTGGCACAAAGAGAAGAAGAAGAAAACCTGTTTAACAAACACTTCTTGGTTATCCAGGCATGGTGGTGCATGCCTTTTAATGTCAGCACTGGCAGACAGGGCAAAAGAATCTTTGCAAGTTCCAGGCCAGCTGGGTCTACACAGTAAGACACTGTCTCAAAAATTCTTGCTGTTAAGACTCCTGGATTTCAATTGAGGGAAAATACTGATAGGCACCTACACAGGTAAATGATTATGGTATGAACAGTGCTTCAAGGCACATCCAGAATTTCCAGGCTGAGACAGTACCACTCTTCACCAGAAGATGGTGATATACACACACAAAGCCACCTTCCCTAAGCACGAGCTGGGCTTCTCTGCCTAGAGCTCTCCAGTCATCTCATCTTCAAATAGACTAGGACAGAAAAGTTATTCTTCTTCTTAAATATATGGAAGCTCAGCTTCCAATCTCTCACAAATCTTTGATCTAGGAAGTGAAAGAGAAGAATTTAGAGCTTAAAAGAAAAGCAAAGAAAAGAAAAGAAAAAGTCCCAGGCTAGAGAGAATACTCAGGACCCGAGTTCAGTTCCCAGAGCCCATGTCAGGTGGTTCACAACTGCCAGCAGCTCTGATCCAGGGGATTCAATGTCCCTGGTCTTCTGCAGCACCTATAGTCATATGCACAGACCCATACATATATCCCTCTCCCATATACACATTCAAATTAAAACAAAAACTTTAAAAAATTCACTTCTATTTAAACAATTAATTTTTTGTGGTATCACCATAGATCTTCTATATAAAAGCTAAAATTAGATGAGTATATACTGAAATTTGACCACTGATTACTGAGTTCTGCTTTCTAGGTGTTAGAGACAGTTCTTATGTGGACAGGCCTAGAAGTCCTGATCCTCCTTTTGCCATCCCACAAGTGCTGGGAGTAGCTATAGACTACTTGTAGACGGAGTTATTGTGCCACCTGGTCCTGCCACCCTTCAGTCCCAAATAAACACACAGAGACTTATATTAATAATAAACTGTTTGGCCGATGGCTTAGGCTTCTTAGTGGCTAGCTCTCTCTTAATTAGTAACCCATAACTATTAATCTATGTATTTCTACATGGCCTTATCTTACTGGAGAATGCCCTAAGTCCTATATTTCCTGTAGCTTACATGTTATCTACCTCTGGTGACTCCTCTCTACCTCCTCTCCCCAGCATTCTCCTTATCTGGTAACCCTACCTATACTTTCTGCCTGGCTACTGGCCAATCAGCATTTTATTGATCAACCAATAAGAGAAACATATGCAGACAGGACATTCTCCATCAAAGACTTCTTAGATGACATAATGGGAAATGGGAAGGAAGGAATTTTTTTTGTTTGTTTTGTTTTGTTTTTTTTTTTTGTTTTGGTTTTACGAGACAGGGTTTCTCTGTTTTGGTGGCTGTCAGTCCAGCCTGGCCTCAAACTCACAGAGATCCGCCTGCCTCTGCCTCCCAAGTGCTGGGATTAAAGGTATGTGCCTCCAACTCCCGGCTGGAAGGAATGTTTGATTCATTCATTTTTTTTTTCCTTTTTGGTTTTTGAAGACAAGGTTTCTCTCTGTAGCCCTGGCTGTCCTAGAAAGTTACTCTGTAGACCAGGCTGGCCTCAAACTCAGAGAGAGATCCACCTGCTTCTAGGATTAAAGTCGTGTGCCACCACTGTTCGGTGATTCATTCATTCTTTTTTTTTAATATTTTATTTATTTATTGTGTATACAGTCTTCTGCCTGCATGCCAGTGGAGGGCACCAGATATCATTCAAGGTGGTTGTGAGCCACCATGTGGTTGCTGGGAATTGAACTCAGGACCTCTGGAAGAACAGTCAGTGCTCTTAACTGCTGAATCTCTCCAGCCTGATTCATTCATTCTTTTTTTTTTTTTTTTTTTGGTTTTTACGAGACAGGGTTTCTCTGTATTGTTTTGGAGGCTGTCGATCCAACCCGGCCTCGAACTCACAGAGATCCGCCTGCCTCTGCCTCCCGAGTGCTGGGATTAAAGGCGTGTGTCACCACCGCCCAGCCAGATTCATTCATTCTTTTTTTTTTTTTTTTTTTTTTTTTTTTTGGTTTTTCGAGACAGGGTTTCTCTGTAGCTTTGGAGGCTGTCCTGGAACTCACTTTGTAGACCAGGCTGGCTTCGAACTCACAGAGATCCGCCTGCCTCTGCCTCCCGAGGGCTGGGATTAAAGGCGTGCGCCACCAACGCCCGGCTATTCATTCATTCTTAAGAAAAGGCTTTCCTATTTAACTCAGGCTCACCCTGAGTTTCCAATTCTCTTCCTGCTTCAACCTCCAGGATTACAAGTACAGGGATTACAAGCATTTGCTGACCATGGCTAGATAGAAGGGGTGTTTCAGTCTGTCTGGTTGGGGAGAAAAGAAACATAAGTTGCGTACCTCTCCAGGTCGGATCTTGATGAAGAAGCTGCTACGTTTGTAAGAAATTTTTAGCACTTTGGGCCAAGGAAAACGGTTAATTCTCAACTTATCTTTGTAAACCAAAAGGCCACTAGAGCAGACTCCTAGGATAATATCCACTCCCTCCAAGTCCTGAAAAGAGAAGCATCAACATTTCACTTGAGTGGTGAACACATTACTGGCTATTATTAAATAATTCGAAGCAACCAACAACCCCAAACAGTTCAAAAGCATATAATAAAAACAATACTTAAAATTTGTGGTAGTGGTGCATGACTTTAATCCTAGTACTTGGGAGACAGAAGCAGGCAGATCTCTGTGAATTTGAGGCCAGCCTGGTCTATAGAGTGAGTTCCTGGACAATCAGGGCTACACAGAAACTCTGTCTCAAAAAAACAAAATAAAACAAAAAAACTTAAGCAGTCATTGTCCACTGGAGTATTATGGCTAAGTGTGAGTTCGAGGCCGGGCTGGATCGACAGTCTCCAAAACAATACAAAGAAACCCTGTCTCGTAAAAACCAAAAGACTACATAGCTGAAAATTTACCAGAAGATGACCTCTTACATTTTTAAAGTCCACAGGCTATAATTATCTTTCTCTTTTTAAAATATTTTAAAAGGGGGCTGGAAAGATGGCTCAGTGGTTAAGAGCACTGGCTGCTCTTCCAGAGGTCCTGGGTTCAATTCCCAGGACCCACATGACAGCTCACAACTGTCTGTATTTCTAGTTCTAGCAGATCTGACACCCTCACAGATACACATGTAGGCAAAACACCAATGCACGTAAAAATAAAAATTACAATTAAAACTTTAAAAATTAATTAATTAGTTAGTTATGTGTGGGTAAACACCTGCCACTATTGAAGTACTTGTGGAGGTCAGAGGACAACTTGCTGGAGTTGGTTCTCTCCTTTCACCATGTGGGTCTTGGGGATCAAACTGCTTACCAGGCTTGGTGCCAGGTGCCTTTATTCACTGAACCAGCTTGTTAGCTTTTCTTTCTCTTCTGATGACATTAAAGGAGGAATACTGTGCTTTGTAACATTTTGAAAGGGCACATGTTATCTGACTCCATTCACTCCTGACGCCAGCCTCCATTAGGAAATGAGAAGTAAAACCTAGCAGATTTCAGTCCTGCAAGTACTCCTCAGCTGACTCACTGAGGTCTTAACAGAACTCTCCAGGGTCATGGGAGCCATGGTGCCCAGTGCAAAGCAATCTAGAGAAGAGCAATGGCTTTAGAGAGCCATGAGTGGGGCTGGAGAGATGGCTCAGAAGTTAAGAGCATTGGCTGCTCTTCCAGAGGTTCTGGGTTCAATTCCCAGCAATCACATGGTGACTCACAACCATCTGTAAGGAGATTTGGTGCCCTCTTCTGGCATGCAGACATACGTGCTGGCAGAACACTGTACACATAATCAATCAATCAATCAACGTTTTTAAAAAAGCCAAAGCCAAAGGGAGAGAGGGGAAGGGAGAAAGCCGCAACTGTGCAATGAAATTTTACTAGGACAAACAGAACCTAGACATGAAATCATAAATTTAGGTAAGGAGAATTCTAAAAATCATCAACAGGTCTAAGTAGAGACCAGATGCTTGAATGACCTAACACATGAATATTTCTAAATTCCTACCAAGTGATTTTTCTGCTTATTCTGGAATAAACAGAGCAGAAGAGAATTCATCATCCAGGGAGATAAGCCTATCACATCTTTTAAAGAGTTCTGCTAGACAACTGGTCCTATTGAGCTAAAAAGTAGATTTCCCTGTAGTTTCCATATATGTATGTATGTATGTATGTATGTATGTTTCTATTTTTCTATCCCTGGGTTTATGCCTGAAAGCCATGCTAAATCTCTTCACTTTTAAAAACTTACCTATTTGAAACAGGGTCTTATGTATCCCAGGCTGGCCTCAAATTCCCCATATAGCTGAGAATGATAACGAACTTCTGATCCCCCTGCCTCTAATTTCCAAGGGCTGGGATTATGGGCAAGCACCAACACATCCAGTTTATGTGCTGCTGGGGACTGAGCCCAGGACTTCATGCATGCTAGGCAAGCGCTCTATCAGCTGAGCTTTATCTCTAGCCCATTTCCCTTTTGTGGCTAAGTATCTCTCTTCCTTTATTTCTTACTGGATGCTGCTTTGTCTACATCATAGGTACTAGCTAAGTTCCTCTGTAGGAGCCTCCAGATCATACCTTGAGTCCTTTCCCTGGCAATCTTTGCAACACCCCAGCCATTTTAGTAACCATTTAGCAGCCAAGTGACTTGCATTAATTAGGCCAAGACAAGGTTCTCCAGTAAGATAAGACCACATGAAAATACTTAGATTAATAGAGATGGGTTAATAATTAAGAGAGAGCTAATTAGGTAAGAAGACCTAGCCATTGGCCGACAATTTTATAATTAATATAGCATCCGTGTGGGCAAAGCAGCTGTGGGACCAGGCTGGAAAGAAACTCCAGCAATATTCATGCTTCTGATTCCCTAACCCAGTAGTTCTCAAAAGAGCTATGGCTTCTCCAATGTGCATGAGTCATTTGGAGTGCTTGTCACAGACTGCTGAGGTTGTCCCCACATTCCAATTATTACCTCTGGGAGAGACCTGAAACATGTATTTCTAACAAGTTTCTAGATAGTATTAAATGTCACTGAGTGGGAGACCAATGGTTCTGATTCAGGCTTCATTAGCACCATTTGGGATGGTCATTAAATCTGGAGTTAGAGTCTCTTCCTAGACAGCCTATATACCTGGGCAGAGCTCTGAAATCTGCAATATTTAGTAGACACCCAGGTGATTTTTAGGTGAATAATGCTGTTTGTGGAACCAAAATACCCCTTAATGCCTCTCTGAATCTTCAAATGTAACTTTATTTTAGAAAATACAATTTATTTTTCTCTAGACATTCATATTTTTATCTTTACAATGTGTTGGTTGTAAAATTTTTGCAAATAGTAATTATTTTATTGATATAGAATTCATATACCACACATTTTTTCCACTTAAAGTATACAATACGTTTTTCAATATATTTAGAGGCATACGATCACCCCCCTCCTCAAAAAAAAAAACTTAAGAAGCAATTCTCTAGCATGATGGTGGTGGCTCACACCTCTAATCCCAGCACTTAATCTCTGAGTCTGAGGCCAGCCTGGTCTACAGAGCAGCAGAGTTCGAGGACAGCCAGGGCTGTGAAACCCTGTCTTGAAAAACAAAATAATAAATAAAATGCCATAAATAAATGTTGTTAAGAGGTGTAAGATAATACAAGTGTGACATATTAATAGGTCTGTGTCATATGCATTTACATACATGTTATAATAGGTCAAAGTTATCACTACCTTTGCTTTGTGAAGATCAACTCCATACATGGACAACTTTTTGGCATTCTCAAGAAATTCCAAGTCAGCCTGAGCTGGAGTCATGGACCTTTGGCAGAATAAAAAGAGAAAATTCAGTAACACAGCAGAAGCATTTATGTTATGAATAACTGAATGTTCATTTTACCTCACACCAACATGTGTGTGTGTGTGTCCTCAAAGTAATTATGGAATGAGAATCTTCTCACTACCTGAGTCTAAATAATTGAAATATGCCTTAGAAAATAAAAATTTAAGAAAACCAGATGTCACCAAAAAGCTATCAGAAAGGCAATCTTAATCCAACCATTTACTTTAAGCTACCCCATCCATCTGGAATTCAGTACCCCTCTCTGCAGTCTTTTTCTGTGTCACACATGAACTCCTCCCACTTTTTTTTTAACCAAGGAGATGGCCAAATTATATCCTCAGTATAGTTTACAAGATCCTCTTAGCCTCCCTTTTCTCTCTATACTCTGAATTGAGTTATTATGGAAATTAAGCTGGAGGGCAAGCTGATGTTACTTAACTGGGACTCTTAATGGGGGCAGATTTGATGAAAAGAAATTTTCTGGTAACAGATGGTGTTCTGCCCACTGATCTCAATGAATAAATTGGCTAATAGAAGCATCCTGATAATGGGACTGTTTTCTGTTATTAAGATGTCTTCACTGCCAGGCATATAATGAGTTAGATTTGTTTGAAAACAGTCAATTTCACTGTCTAAACATTCACTGTGCCAGCCTCTCCTTTATAAGTTTCTTCTCTTTTGAAGGATGCTCTTGAGCTGTTCTGTTAGCTTTCAAGACAAAGATATCACTCACAATGCTGCACAGTTTGGACCAATTATGACAGTTCACAGTAACAACAAGGCAGCCACATCCCCAAGGAAAAACACATGGACAAGCAGCTTTTCCTAAGACTGCCCAGAGCCATGGAAGCAGCAGGGGTCTCTTTACTTAACCAGAAAAGGTCTCTGCCAAACCCATCTGTCTTTACCCTCATTAAAAAGAACAAAGGGTTTCTTAGAACAATAACCACCAAAAGGAGAAGAAAAAAAACCCACCTCAGCTTTCTTGTATAAATATTTCATAAATTCTAAAGCATCACACCCAAATTTATTAATTGAAAGTGTAAGCAAGGGGGGGAACCTATATCCAAGTTATTTAAAACATCTCAGGCAACTTTTATAATTGCATATATAATTATATATAATCCATATAAGAGATATGCTTTTCTACTTGAGGTTGGTCCCAGCTATTTTTTGTTTTTGTTGTTCCTTTTATTATTTGTTAATAACAGATCCCAGATCATGTCACCAGCAAATTAGAATTCAGTAAGAAGCAGCAGGCTCAAGTCACATCTTATGGACTGTAATTCTGACTCCTGACCTTAGAGTCATTTCTACATCTCCTTCAATTCCCCCTATAAAGTAAGAATTATAATGTCTATTTGTACATCATAGGGATAAACAATTTTTTTGGTCTTCAGTAAATACATGAAATGTGATTGTCAAAATCAAATTATGTTTGTGAAACTGCTTTGTAAACTACTAATGTTTATTACTACTGAAACTTTAGTTTTCTAATAGTTCAGTGGTCCATCTACATACAAATTATAAAATAATTACAAAAAATAATTTGTAGCCAGGCATGGTGGCACACAACTGTAAATAATTCCAGTACTTGGGAGATGGGGGGTAGAAAGATAAGGTGTTCAAGTCAGCACAAGTTATGAGACCCAGTCTCAAGCCCTACCCTCACTCCCTCTGGAAAAAAAACCAAAAACTGTCTTTAAAGAGAGAAATAGCCAGGAACGGTGGCACATATCTTTAATTCTAGTACTCGGTAAGCAAAGGCAAGTGGATCTCTTGTGAACTTAACTTTAGGTCAGCCTGGTTTACAGAGTGAGTTCCAGGCCAAGCGATATAATGAGACTGTGGTAATATCTTGTTAACAAATAAAGCTTGCCTGAAGATCTGAGGGTGGGGCTAGCCACCAGTTAACCATAGAGATCTGAAGGTCTGTACAGACAAACAGGAAGTGATATGGCTGGGCAGAGAAAGGAATATAAAGCGGAAGGAGACAGGAGCTTAGGCCCCTTTTCAGTCTGAGGATTTCAGAAGAACTCTAGTGGCTGCCTGCTCTGCTTCTTTTTCATCCCCTAATATCTGACTCTGGGTTTTTATTATTAAGACCAATTAGAATCCATGCTACATGAGACTTTATCTCAAGAAAGATTTGCAGCGGGGATTGGGGAGTTTGGGGGGGTGCTTATGAGATGGTTAGATCACTTAAATTCATACAAAAATTTAAAACATTAAATAAAAGCACACTTTTAATCCCAGCACTCAAGAGGCACAGGCAGCCGGATCTCTGTGAGTTCGAGGCCAACCTGGTCTATAGAGTGAGTTCCAGGACAGCCTCCAAAACAACACAAAGAAACCCTGTCTCGAAAAACCAAAAAAACAAAACCAAACCAAACCAAAACCAAATGAAAGCCCCACACAACAAAAGCCTGCCTCTAGACCTAGAGCTGGGGAGATGGCTCATCACCTGTTGTGCAAGCATGAGGACCTGAGCTCAAATTCCCTGCACCACCGACAGAAAAAGCCAAGCAGTGTGTGCCTATAATCTTAGTGCTGAAGAGGCAGAGGCAGGAGGACCCCAGTCTTCCTGGCCAGTTAGTGTACCAACCAGTGACCTCCAGATTCAGTGAGACATCCTGACTCAAAACATAAGGCTGACAGGAGCTGGAGAGCTGGTGCAGAGATATCTCCATGGTAAAAAGTGTGAAAGCAGAAGGACCAGAGTTCAGATCCCAGCACCCAGGTGAATAAGGACAAGATGTCATTCCACCCACACCTATAACCCTGACTGAGCAGGACAGAGGCAGGAGGATTGTTGAGGCTTGCTGGCTGCTAGCCTAGTTGAAAAGATAATGAGCTCCAGGTTAAATGAGAGATCACACCTCAAAGGCACAAAGTAGAAGATAATGAAGGAGGTCACCTGATGTCTCCTCTGACCTCTGCCCACACAGGTGCCCATGCATGCATACGCACACATACACCACACACAAAAACATCTCATACACAGTTAGGTGAAGAGCAACAGAGACGACATCAATGTTACTCTCCAGCCTCCAACATGCTTGCACAGGAACATGTTATCTGCATACATCACACACACACACACACACACACACACACACACACACACACACATACACACACACACACACACTTGAATTTAGATTTTTGAAACAGTTATGGCTTTTTTTTCTTTTTTTTTCAAAGATAGGGTCTCTCACTATGTAACTCCGGCTGTCCTGGAATGTACTATATAGACCAGGCTGGCCTCCCAAGTGCTGGGATTAAAGGAGTGTGCCACTACGCCCAACTAACAATTATGGTTCTTGTTTTGCTTTTGTTTTTCAAGACAGGGTTTCTCTGTGTAGCCCTGGCTATCCTACAAGTCTCTCTATATATCAGGCTGGCCTTGAACTCACAGAGATCCACCAGTCTCATTTAATCCCGAATGTGCCACCACTGCCTGGCTCAATTACAACTTTTTTTTTTTTTTTTTTTTTTTTTTTAGAGACAGGGTTTCTCTGTATTGTTTTGGAGACTGTCCTGGAACTCATTCTGTAGACTAGGCTAGTCTCGAACTCACAGAGATCCGCCTGCCTCTGCCTCCCGAGTGCTGAGATTAAAGGCGTGCACCACCAACACCCAGATTTATTTATTATGTATACAGTATTCTGCCCGCATGTATGCCTGCATGCCAGAAAAGGGCACCAAATTTCATTATAGATGGTTGTGAACCACCCTGGGTTGCTGGGAATTAAACTAATGACCTCTGAAAGAGCAGTCAGTGCTCTTAACCTCTGAGTCATCTCTCCAGCCCCCCCAATTATGATTCTTAAGTTATATATAACACAAATTATTTTCTCCTAAACCATGGTACACTGCTAACCTAGTGGTCCCAATATTCCTAAATATTTCTGTATGTACTTCCTACAAATAAGGACAGCCTTCTATACAGTGTCAAAACCCTGAAATTAACACTGACACACAATGCCATATAATCCTTAAACCCCATTCACCAAACTCAGCCAGTTGTTACAGAATGATCCAGTTGTAGATCATGTGTCTCCAGTCTAATCTGGTATAGGTCTGACTGTTGAGCTCAAGGCAAGAGCTTCACAATGAGCTGTATCCCCAACCCCGGGGTCAGGTGTCTTTAACAGGAAGGTCATAGAAGTGGAGCTGTGTCTGCACTGCATCCTATCAAGTGTTCATAAATTCAATTTGTCCCTTCAAAGCCGATGTCCACTCTAACACCGATGTATGGCAAGTTTCTCTGAAATTCTTCTTTATCTCATTGTAGCTATTAAGTATTATGGGAATTATTTTCAATATTTTTAATATCTTCTATCAAACTATTTATTTATGTATATCATAATGGGTTCATAGACTCAAGGCTGGGTTTCTTGTTTGTTTTGGCATTCATACTAAGCAAGTGCTGCACTACTACATCTCTAACCCAGACTCTCATTTTAGACAATGCAATAGAATCACTTATTTTGCATATCTATTTCCCTGCTTAAATTGCCTGAGATTTGGTCAGTGGGAGCTTCTACAAGGCCAATCCTCCCGCAACAGCAATATGGGTCCTTCTAAACATTTCTCATCTTTTTGAGTGTCTCTTCCCAGCTCAGTGTAAAATTAAAGTATACTGGTATTTATATAGGTACCTATTTACATCTATGTCTTATCACCACTTGTCGCTATAGTGAAGCCATGAAGGTGCACTGAAACCTCTAGTTGTAATGCGATACCGCCAGGTTCTTTTCTCCCTCTCTATAGAGATCAGGAAGTGGTGGCATACACTTTTAATCCCAGGATTTAAGATTAAGAGATAGACGGATCTCTGTTAGTTCCAGTCTACGCTGACTACACAAAATTGATCCAGTCCTAAAAGAAACAGTTCACACAAAGATGATCTCAGCACTTGGGATCCCAAGCCTTTAATTCCAGGACTCTGAGAGGTATTTAAGGCAGGAACAGGGTCTCAGAGCTGGCATTCATTCTCCAGCCACATTGAGGATAGGAAGACAATGAAGTCTCCAGGCACGCTGAGGAGAGCATAGCAATCTGACTGAATCTGAGGAGCAGTGAAGTCGGGAGCAGTGTGAAGACTGCCCCTCTGGTCTGAGCTGAGGTAGAGGTAAGAGCTAGTGGTGACTGCTTTGTTTTTCTGATCTTCAGCTTGAAGTTTGAACCCCAATATCAGTCACTGGGCCTTTCATTTTTTGTGCTACAATTTTAAGTCTTTTTTGATACCATATTCAAACGTGAGAGCAGTTTCTTATGTGTGTTCATGTGAGTGCATGGTGGGGGGGGTGCATGCATACATGAGAGTGAGCAAGTGCATGTATGTGCAGGCCAGAGGTCAACCTTGAGTGTCATTCCTCAGGTGCCTGTCACCTTGTCCTCTGAAATAGGAGACACCAATTATGCTACACTGGTTGGCCAGTGAGGCCCCCAAATTCATCGGTCTCCACCCTTCCAGTGCTGGGATTATTAGCATGTGATGTGAGCTTGAACTCATGTCTTCATCCTTGCATGGCAAGCCCTTTACCAACTGAGCTATCTTCCCAGTCTAAGAGCAGTTTCTTAAAGAGCAGTGAAATGTAAAATCTGAAAACAAATCTGAAATTTTGTGTTGTTATAATTCATTACATGTTTGAGATTTCACTGGTCTACCTTGTATTTTGAGTGGATATTTTTACTCATGCATTATTCTATTTGTTTGTTTAAGTTTTTTAAAGACAGTGTGTATGTAGCCCTGGCTGTCCTGGAACTCACTCTGTAGACCCGGTTGGCCTCAAACTCAGAGATCTGCCTGTTTCTGCCTCCAGAGTGTCAGGATGAAAGGTATGTGCCACATATCTGGCCTGGATTATTTTAAAATGTTATATATTTCACATATTTATTGGCTGAGTCAATTCATCCAAATGATGACATATTTCACCATACAATACTTTTTTTTTCTTTTCTTGTTTTTTCAAGACAGGGCTTCTCTGTAGCTTTGGAGCCTGTCTTGGAACTCTCTCTATAGACCAGGCTGGCCTGGAACTCACAGAGATCTGCATGCAAACAAAACATTCATACATACAAAATAAACAAATCTAAAAATAGTTTGAAAATAAATTCTGGCAGTTCTCTTTAGACACACTGTGGTTCCATGAGAGTTGGGTGACACAGGAGATGACTGCTGCACAGGTTATAAACTTTAAAATCCTTATCATGGATCTGGGTAGTGTGGGTAAAGGCACTTATCATTAAGCCTGACAACCTGAGTTTAAGTTCTGGAAACCACATGATGGAAGGAGATCTGACTCCTGCAAGCTATCTTCTGATTTCCACATAAGCTCACATACAATCAATTAATTAAATTATGGTTTTCACAACTGAGGTGTCTGAACCTTGGGGGCAATAGGACAGTCAGAAGCAGGCCATATTGAAGTAAAGGTCTCTCATTTGAAGCACCTCAGTCCATTAGAACAACCTCAAAGAGAACAGGAGGACAACTCAATAGCTAGACAGAATACTTGTGGCTACCTAACCAACAAGCTCCTGAGACCATGCTTTGGATTTCCCCTGAACGAAGTGACTTTTTAAATCTTTGTAACACAGAGCATGCTCACACAATTCAGGATGCTATGCCAATGTGACGTAAATCAATGCCAGGATCAGACTAAAGCAGCACGTATAATTTAGTAAGTCATTCAAATAAAAAATGGGTATGTAGAAAAAGAAATACAATGGGGGGGTTCATTTTAGTATTATGTAACAATTATTGGATTTTTATATGAGACACACAGATATCCTTTTCTAAACTTAGACATTGCCTCATTTCTTCTAAAGTAATAATCTCAATTGGACACTCAAGGAACCAGAGAAATTTTAAGTATGTCATCGAAGTTCACAGGGCCAGGACAAAACAGAGGCAAGATCTCAACCTGCCTCAAACCAAGGATAAGCCTTGCTCTTAATCATTGTGTGTTACCTCCCCATGTTACTAATTGTATTCACTAAAAGCAGTAAAGTCAGTGAACTTGATGAAGACTCAACTTTACAAAATACTTTCAAGAGTAGATGACCTTCTGAATACACCCATATGCACAGAACTAGACAGAATTTCTGGCTCTAAGGATCTTAAGGCATCTAATACAGCCTACATCTAAAACCTGAAATAAAAAGGTTTAAGCAATAATAGTAATATCTACCATTTTTGAACACTTACTATGTGCAAGATCTCATGCTAAGTGGTTCCACACACACATATTATCTTATTTACTTTTCACCATACAATGCAATGCCCATTACTCTGATAACCAACAACAAAAATTAATAAACATAGAAACAAATATTTTTCAATAAACTTGGAAACAAAAACAGAAACAAACAAACAAAAATCCCATTAACCTGATAAGAAAACCAGTCAGAGGGCTTGAATGACTTTTTCAAAGTCAAACAATACAGGGAAATGAACTCAAGGTGACTCTCCCTATGGTAAACAATGAATCAGAAACAAGTCAAGGGTTTAAACCCATGGCCAAGATAAATACAGAACATCTGGAGACATGTTCACCTGTATGATTTATGCAATTCCATGACCTTATCTTCAAGTTCCTTGGTCTGATTTGGAGCCAGTTTAAAATCACTGACATAATCCACACCATGCAGTTCTGGGTCATAGTCTCCCAGTTCAGACTGGATGGTGTAAGAGCCGAGTAGGGCTAAGGTTGCAAAGGAACAGGGTAGCCGTCCAGCAACGATGTCCTGCCGGAGCTGAAGACATAAATAGTATCTATATCCAAAAAAGAAAAGATGTGAATATGTCAGTAACAACAAAAGAACACAATACAGACAGATGAAAAGGAAGAGGGTAAAAGAAAGAAGAGCAGGAAAAAGACTAATGAAACTGACATGATAATTGTTCAGTGTAACAGTGGGCACATAGATAGTCATTGTAAAATTGTTTCTCCCTCTTATTTGAAATATTTTCATAAAATAAAAATACTATAACTATGCTGAACAGAGTTGGAAGGAAGTTTAGAAGAAGAGGAAAAGCAGGGAACATCTGAAGGAGGTAAGGAAATTAATATTTTATTGAGTACACATTCTTGAATATTATGCACATACATGTATTCCATGAAAAATGAAGTAGTTTTCTCAAGGAGAGAGATGGCATCCTAACTGAGAATGACTTTATGCAAAGTAACCTTAGAAAATGCTATAGGCTTTTCACAGCACTGAATCAGATTTTAGGAGTTTATCTTATTCCCTCATTTACATTTTCCCATATTTTTATTTTGTATATGGGTGTTCTGGCTGCGTGTGTGTGTGTGTGTGTGTGTGTGTGTGTGTGTGTGTGTGTGTGTGTGTGTGTGTGTAACATGAGGGTGCTGGGAATTGAACCTGGGTCATCGGGAAGAGCAACCAGTGCTTTTAACCACTAAGTTATTGTTTCAGCCCCTCCCTCTTTTTAGAGAGATGAAAACTGAATCCTAGAGATTATAAATTCCTCAGAAATTAGATCATTAATAACAAAATCAGACTTAGGAAGTAGTTCTTGGCAACCCAGCAGTTCAATTTAACAAATATTGCCAAGCATCCACTAGGAAGAGGAAGCCTTCATGCTATCACAGGCATGAGAGCTCACAGCAGTACAGTTCATCATACAATAGTTTTCCATTTAGTTTTTATTTGTCTTTGATAAAATCAAATAAAAATAATTTTCTTAAAAATTCAGTAGATTGTTAGCCGGGCGGTGGTGGCGCACACCTTTAATCCCAGCACTCGGGAGGCAGAGGCAGGCGGATCTCTGTGAGTTCGAGGCCGGGCTGGACTGATAGCCTCAGAAACAATACAGAGAAACCCTGTCTCGTAAAAACCAAAAAAAAAAAAAAAATTCAGTAGATTGTTTTTATGTACCACTTGTGCTACAGATTAAATGGGCCCAAAAGACGAGTCAATTCGTGGGGACAGTTTAAAAGAGAGATAAAGAAATAATTATCATGTGATTTTGCTGTTTTCAACCCTATGGAGAACGAAAGACAGTTAGGTCTTGCCATGAGGGCGTGGTTTAAAAGAGGTCCCCACCAACCATATATTGTAACGCAGTGTAACACCTGGTAAGCGGAACTGGCTCCTGCCAAGTTCCAGCCTTTTAGATTCAGTATCTGTAATCATGCTTTGAAGGCACCAGAAACTCCGTATTTAGACTAGCCATTTAACGTTGTTCTCCTATTCTGGTGAGAAATTCCCAGAGCTTATGACAAGAACTATGCTTCTGTACTTACACCTGATTAAGTATTTACCTTGTTATGTCTTCAGTCAACTGTGCTGGGTCAGGTGGATAAAACTTCACATTAAATGTAAAATTCCAAGGAACACCTATAAAAATAAAGACAGGGATTTTGTTTTTATGTCTAAATTTCTGGTTGAAAATATTTTTTTCCTTAAATCTTACAATCTTTTTCATGTTACGTGTTTAAAAATATTATTACCTTGCCTAGATTCCACCTAGGAAAACTAGAAGACCTTGCTTATTTTTTAACCTTAGCACAGTCTTCATCATAGTGAATTAGAACTACACAGGCAAAATTATATGAAGAAACAATCCTTCAGGTCAACTTGCTCACAGAACTTGCTTTAGAGATGTGATTTATATTCTGCTTTAAGCCATCAGAAGTCAATGGCTGCTCTTTTGCAATTCTGAAGATATTTACTTATGATATATAAACATTATCTGAAATAAAAGCTCATGTGCACATATATACATACAATTCAATGGATGTAAAAGAAACAAAAATATGATAAAATAACTTCAGAAAAATAATATTTGAGGAATCTGGGTAAAGGCCACCTAGGAATTCTTACACTGTTCTTTTTTAAAATTTTCATAAGTCTGAAATTATTTTAAAAATTTTTATTAATAATTTAAAAGATTTACTTCTGTGTGTGTGTTCTCTATATATGCTCACATATGCATGAGCACACAAACATGTGTGCAGCTGCTCACAGAGGCCAGAAGTTGTTATTGGATCCCCTGGAGCTGAAATTATAGGTGGTTGTGAGTTGCCTGATGTGGGTGCTGGGAACTGGACTTAGTTCCTCTGGAAGAGCAGGAAATGACTCAACTGCTGAGCATCTCTCCAGCTCCATTTTTTTTAAAGACAGGGTTTTTCTTGTGTAGCCCTGGCTGTTCTAGAAATCATCCTGTAAACCAGCCTGGCCTTGAACTCAGAGAACCACCTGCCTTCTGCCTCCTGCCTCCTGAATGTTGAAACTAAAGGCATGCACCACCACCTCCCAGCTTAATTAATCATTTTTTTAAAAATGGCTTTCTGGGGGATGAAGAGATAGCTTAGAAAATAAGAGCAATTGCTATACAAGTACAAATTCAAATCTCCAGAACCCACTAAAATCTGGACATGGTTGTACATGCCTGTGACCCTAGCACTGTTGTAGGGGTGGGTGGAGAAATCACTGGATCTTGCTGATCACCAGCTTAATTACAGCTTCAGTGAAGAGACCCTGTCTCATAGGAATAAGGTGGAGACTGAGAGAACAAGACATCCAACATTTTCCTCTAGCCTTTACTAGCAAGCACCACCCCCAACACACAGGTGCCATGAAACTCACATACACATTCACACCTATACATATTACACACACACACACACACACACACACACACAAAAGAGTAAATTCTAAAATGGCTTTTTCTGAATTCACAGGTAAGAATGTAAGTGGTTGCAACCAACGTAAAGAAGACACTGTGTAGTATCTTGCAAAGGTGAAAAGAAACAACTCACATCCTACTTCCAGATATCCTATTAAACACTATTTCCAGGCATATATCCTAAGTCAGGGTTGTAACTGTGTTCTTACTTGATAACTGTTCTTTTATATATAATTTGACTATGTTAAAGTTAAGACCTTTCTTTTTGTTTAAACAGAAAAGAGGAGATGTTGGGAAAGTCCTGTGTATATGTCAATAAAGCACTGTTGGCCAACAGGGAAGCAAGATAGGTAGGACTAGGAGTCGAGGAGGACTCTGGGTTCAGGAGAAACACAGGAAGTCAAGATGTAGCTGTGATAGGGGTAAGAAGTTCGGAACTATTCTCCGGTAAGAGAAATACTTATATAAACAATTGTGAGGTAAATACTTAAGTCAGAGCTAGCCAGTAAGAAACAAGCAAGGCCAACAGCTTCATAATTAATACAGCGTCTTGTATGTTATTTGGGGACTACAACGCGGCAGAGCCCAGGCGACTGGCAAGGGCGAAAAACCAAGCAGCTGGCAAGGAAAAGTCTTCTCTTTACAATAAAGGGTTTTTTAAAAACATAATTTGGGTAAATTACATATAATTTTCAGTATACGGAGAAGGTATAAACATATCGTGCCTTGTGGACTATCACTGGTTTAAATTTTCTAAAAATCCTGAAATTGTGTTAAAACTTTTAAATAACTAGCTGTTTTGTAATTAAAAAAAATTAGGTGCATTGGTGTTTGTCCTGCATGTATGTCTGTGTGAGCAAGTCGGATTCCCTGGAACTCTCAATTACAGATGGTTGTGAGTTGCCATAGGGATGCTGAGAATTGAACCCGGGTCCTCTGGAAGAGCAACCAAATGTGGTTAACTGCTGAGCCATCTCTCCAACCCTATTAATAAAATTTTTAAAGAGTTATTTCTGTGTGTGTGGGTGCCGTGTGTATATGCTGTATGTGCACAGCTGCTAACAGAGGCCAGGTGAGGTTGCTGGAGTCAAAACTGCAGGCAGTTATGAGGGTGGCTAGCCTGACTCAGCAAGAGAGAGGCCTCATCCAGAACCAAGAAAATAAAGAACCTTAAAGTTAAGCTGGCAGGAGAAAAAAAAGGACAGATAAACTCAGAAGATACAAAAGGACATTACATAAGAAAAGATAAAGCACTAGTGTGTGTTGTTCATAGGGATGACTACATGAAAAGTACAAAAACAAAACTGGAAGGAGTGCCCCCAAACTGACAACAGACCTCTATGGATAGGAAGAGATATGACTGAAAAAAAAAAAAGCCAAAGAGCTCAAACTTCTCTCTCCCGGTCCAAAAAAAATGCTAACACATGTTAATTCTGGTTGGATGGGAGACATGAGTTTTGTTACATAGCCTCCATACTTCCTTTTGTAATTCTAGTGCTGGGGAGGTGGAGACAATAGATCCCTGGAGCTCACTGACCAGCAAACCAGGAATTTCAAATAGCATGGTAGACAGTACCCAAGGCACAGGATTCAAGGTTGATCCCTGCCCTCCATACAGAGGTACACACATGTGCACCTCTATACACACAACCACTTACACACACACACACCAAAAAAAATCTATAGACACTTAGCAAATGCAGAGATATAGTCACAAATGCAAACATGCATGTAATAGGAAACCAATGAAAGTAACCCAAAACACACAGAAATATGATTACTTATATATATAGTGTATGTAATCGTTTTAAAAAACAATGAAATATAGATAGATAGATAGATAGATAGATAGATAGATAGATAGACAGACAGACAGACAGACACATATATGTATATACATAGGCAGGCAAAAGATACTAATACTCTGTTTATGTAAAAAAAGATGAGGCACATATTTAAATAGACACAACCATGGGTATGTGTTTATATACAACTCAGACTTGTCTAGAAGGAAGACAAGAAATTAGTTACCATGGTTGCCTCCAGAAAAAGAAACTGCATGACTAAGACACGGTAGGAAGATTCACCTTGTGCTATTTTCATTTGCACCTTTAATTTTATACTGCATACCTGTATTTTTAAAATTGGATTTAAAAACCATGTACAGCATAAATGCTTTGGTTTGTTTGTTTTGAGAGAAGACCTCAAGTAGCTGAAACCCCAGATGTGTGGTTTCAGACATGTGCATCTCTCCTGAGTACAATTTGAAAAATTCATATATGCCCAGAAATATCTTACAGATTATACCAGTTTCATTGATTAGATTTAATGATGTCATAATTTTTCATGGGGGCTACAAAGATGCTTGCCACCCAAGTCTGGCGACCTGAATTGAATCCCTGGAACCCATGTGTAGGTGGAAGGAGAGACTGACTCAGAAAGCTGTTCTCTGATCTCTGCATACATGCACATGCATACATGCATGCACATGTATACATGCATGCACATGTATACTCACAATAAAACTTTCAAATAAATAACATTGCCATGACTATATGCTAAATGTATGATGAAAAGGTTAAAAAGGAAAATGCCTTTATAACATGTGAAGATCACTTTCTGGCTTCCTGATATTATATATTTGATTCACTAGTAGAGTTTTTATGGATTTTCCCCCATGCTGTAGAAAGGTTTTTATCGTTATTTTAACAGAATCTTGGTTGTAGATTGTTTGGGCTATCTAGTGAAACCTGTCTCAAAATAATAATAACAAAAATGGTTTGTTACGTGAAGCCACAAGAGTCTCAAGAATTTATGTATAAAATGGGGAAAAACACTCACTGATACAGAACAGATTAGACACAGCTGTGATCCAGCTGCTGTGTTCTGCCATTCTGGCCAGGGGAGATGGGGACCAACCACTCCTTGCTCTGGCTCCAACTGCCTGAGAACAAGAGAGAGTGCATGACTCTCTCCCTCAGCTTTTAAGCAGTCGCATACATAGACACAAGACTCTAGGGCTTGCTGCCCCAAAAATCATTGGCTAAATGGATCAAAATCCCACAACATTCCCCTTATTTTTCTAAATAAGAAGGTTCTAATTCTAACACAAAACTATCTACAATAAGAACAACTATCAAGTATTGTGCAGAAGAAAGAAAAGGAAATAAAATAAATAAAGATGAAACTACAATCAACAAGAACTACATCAAGCAAGAAACATGCTAAATGTCCAGGCCATAGGTAATTGGCAAATTACAGAGATTATTCCAATAGCTGTCCTATCCCGGAGATTCTAAGCTTAGCCCTAAGCTAAGATATGAGAGGATTGTAACTGTAACTATCCTTCAGGGTTCCTGCTTCACAGAAGGAACTGCCAGACATTCTGCAGGACATAGAGTAAAGTGACTGATGAACTTTGCCAAAATAGAAGAGACAGTCCTGCTTCACTGAAAAGTCTGCCAGATACTGTGGGGCTGTAGGCTGAAGATGAAGGCCCCAACATTACAGAAGACCTTTAAGTGACTGTCCAGGCATCCAGATGTCTCTGTCAGTTCTAGAGTTTTGGAAGTTGCTTACAAGGCACTTCTTGTTTACTCAGGGAAGATGATATCCTTCTGGGATTTTTGATGGAGTTTAAGACTAGATAGTTATAGTTTCCTTAGTTATGATAAAAGATAAATTAGACATAAAACTTTTTATTCACAAAGATAGGATAGATAATAGGGCATTTTCTTCAATTTTGTAAAATACAAACAGACTAAATATTATAACTGTAATTCTTGCTTAATAACTGTTTCGCTATATAATTTTATTATGTTAAAGTTAAAACCTTCCTTTTTGATTAGACAGAAAGGGGGAAATGATGTGGGATGTCTTTCTGTATGTTGTGAATATATGTTGTTCTCATTGGCTAATAATAAAAGCTATTTGACCAATAGCCAGGCAGGATAGGGTTAGGCAAAACAATCAAACTGAGAACTCAGATGAGGAAGGGTTTTGAAGACACCAGCCACCGCACAAGAAGCAACATGCCAGAGCACCACCAGAAAGCCAAGGGCCATGTGGCAATACACAGATTAATAAAAAGGGGTTAATTTAAATATAAGACCTAGCTAGTATTGAGCCACAGGCCATAAGTCTCAGAGTGGTTATTCGGGAACTGGTGGAGAAACCTCCAGTTACAATAGTAATTATAAAATAATAAATTTCAAGCTTTTATCTGTGAAGAACAAATGCAGAAAGCTGCCAGTCCAAAAAAAGTTTTGCTCCTCTATTTTAAGAATGCTAAAACAAAGACAAAATGAAATAAAGGAATGCTAAAATAGTCATGTACAAGGTCTAAAGAAAAACATTTCATGATAACAAAAATGTTTCAGAAACGAGTGAATAGTTCTGGTTGGGTGATAGAGTTAAAATCTGTTCATCAGGATGAGTAATAACCACTGTATTTTCTGGAAGTTTCTTCTAAAATAAATGAAGCTAAAGTGATAGCTAGCTGGCCTTAATCAAGACATTGGGTTTGGGGCTATGGAATATTCATCTGCACTTTTGTTTTTCATCCCAGAACAGTAGTCTGAGCAGGACATGCAACAGTAAGATGCTCAAGTTACGAGAGAAGCCCCATTGCCTGGTGGCCAGCGGTAAACATTCCTTCCATCACTTTTCCTTCCTTAAATTTGCAAAAGGATGACAAGCAACCTTCCCTATCTCAGGGCATGTGCTCCAGGGCCATTCATGGATGACCAAAATCTTGAGTACTCACCTTTTTCACTCATACCTGGTAACTTCTCTTAGGCCTAACCAAATGGCCAACATCACCACTCTTTAACTTCGAGGTCATTATTAAATAAGAAAGGTTTACTTAACATAAGCCTGTGATAGTCTATCTGATAACCTCAGAGCTACAAAGCAACTAGTATGCTTGCCGTGTGGGTATGCTAGACAAAAGGTGACTCATACCTACACATGGTGGTGCAGGACCACACAAGGTTTCGTTACCACCCAGAAAAGAACACAACCCTGAGATTTCCATTTATTATTTTCAGACCAGTTACAGAAATTGCAAAAAGGAGAAGCTACCATACAGAGGGGAAAACATGGAGAAAGCTAGAACACAGGAATGTGGGTGTAGCTCATGTGTAAGGCCCTGAGTTCAATCCCTAACATAAAACAGAAAGAAAAAGGAAAAACAAAAAGACAAAAAGAACACTAAAAGGGCCAAGTTCCAACAGCAAACTCCTCTTAGTGGCTGGCACAGTCTCTGTCTCTACCATTTTGAGAACTGACTCCCATTCTCGTTATTTTCTAACCTTCTGTTACTCTCATCTAGCCCTACTTGTCCAACTTTGCCTAGCTGGTTTTTGTTTTGTTTTTTAAGGCCAAAATCTGACCTATATCTTAATAGTGTCAACCTCTACTATGTTTTTCTACTAAGGAAAAGCTTTATCTCCATTTCAAAGCAGTCTGTCACAGCCAGGCCTCTCGAGTGACTGAGTCACAGCCAGTGATGGCTGGAGATCCTCTGGTCAACTGAAAAAGAAAGAACTATAAAGGGCTGTATCCACTTACCTCGAACCTGTTTTTTTATTTCTTTGGCAGAATCCAGCCATGTCTGAAAAAGAAGAAAAAGCGTTCACATGGAGCTCCACAACTCACAGATAATTCAGCACTGGAGGCAGCTCCCTGGCCTCCTACATTCCCCCTGGAAGCCCTTGCATTAATTTTACAAAGCATAGTGGTTTCTCAGCAGCAAAAAAGGAACCAGAGGTTGGTTTGAATCCATGCTCCAATATGTCCTGGCTGAGTATCCAGAGTCTCTCTGTACCTGAGTTCCCTTAACTAAAATGTAAATTTTGTCATAGTATCCATCTTACAGAGCTGCTCACATATGTAAGCCTGCTTGTAAAAGCAGCAAATGTGAAGGAAGCATGTGCTATTTATAGTGTTAGGGAAAGATTGGTAAAGATCTAGAACAACGAGTAAGTGACATCAGCCAAATCTCATTTTCTCTTCTATCTTGCCCACTCTAATCTCTCTCCCTGCTATGTTCTTCCACCCCAATTAGAGTCTATAAGACAACACTTAAAATTCAATTTTGGTAGTTTCCAGATGGGGGGATTATCCCTTCCTTACCTCTTACCAACACAGACAGAGCACAGAATGACAAAATATATGCCCTACCAAATGAACAGACTTGAAACTACACTTTTACACTTGGTTATATACTACTTTGGCAGTTATAGACTGTAACCACCACAGACTATATGCATAAGAGTAAGGATTACTTTCCTTTTATATTCTTCCACAATTAACATGGACGACTAAGGAACATTTATTAATAAATACCATTTAATATGAAGCTGTTCTACAGTATAAAAATGAATTACATATTTGACTAGAGGTAGCTCAACAGGTGATATGTGTGTCATGTAAGCATGAGGACCTGAGTTTGATTCCCAGCATTCAGATAAGAAGTTGGGCTTGGTCCTGCATGCTTACAATCTCAGCACTTGGAATGTGGAGACAAGATCTCTGGAGCTTGCTGGTCAGCCATTATACACAAACCAGTAGGTTCCAAGTATGTTGTGAGTCCTGCCTCAAAAATAAGGCAAAGAGCAAAAGAAGAAGACACCCGGTGTCAACTTCCTGGCCTCTATACACATGCATGCACATGTGTGTGTGCTTGAGCATGAGAGCACACACACAAACACACACACACACACATACACACACCCACATGCAAATTAAGCACATACTTGTTTGAGCCCTGTTATAAAGGAAATATCTGAATGTTTCCCATTGCCTCTCATTTGGTCCAAAGACAACGGAATTTAGATACCAATGCTAAGTCTGATGGGACCTCTGAAAACCCTCAGCTTATATGCAACGCAAAATGCTTTACTAATGGCAACTTTCTATCATGTTGGAGAGGGGGTCTGCTCCCATAGCAGAGAGCACCATATTCTCCACTGTTTTAAGAGACTTCCCAACTCTTCCTTCCAGAGATCCCACGAGCAATTATAAGACTGAGGCCAAAATCCCCATCAAGCTGACACTGAAAGGCAAACCCAGATTTGTGTCAATCACGTGGGAGCTTCAAAGTCTGAGCTACCTTGCAGAACCAATGTGAGTTGGTGCAATAGGAAAAGCACCACCACCAAGCCCAAGTTCAATCCCCAGTCTCTTGTGGTAGAAGGAGAAAACCAATTCACAAAAGTCATCCTCTGACCTCCATACATGTACCATCCCTAACCCCAAGCCCTGCCCCTCAAATGAATTAATGCAACTTATAATTGTTTGAAAAAGATCAAAAGCCGAGGTTAAAAACAGATCAAAAGCAAAACCAAAGCCTTCTAATGATAATAAAATCAGTATTTAGACTTCTATGTTCAATTTAAAATATTTAATTCTCAGGGCTGGAGAGATGGCTCAGTGGTTAAGAGCACTGCCAGAGGGCCCAGGTTCAATGCCCAGTACCCATATGGTAGCTCACAACTGTCTGTAACTCCAGTTCCAGGGCTTCTGACATCCTTACACAGACATACATGCAGGCAAAACACTAATGCACATAAAATAAAACTACATTTAAAAAATTCAGTTCTTGGATTTTTTATTTAGCCAACAAATGTATGAGAAATGATTCCATGTGGATTGCATTGTCATTATTAAAAAGACTAAAAATAACACTAAAGAATCAATCAGTTATGCTAAAGCTTGGAGCATCTCAGCACATGGATCCAAAGGAACTTTTAGGAAATAGGGGAATCTGAGTCTTGAAATATGAATCAGCCAGACAAAGAAGAATTGAAAGTAATTAAATGGGCACAAAACTACAAAAGAGTTGCTATGTGTAGTTCAGTATAACCTGAGCACAGAGCTAATTATGGAGAAGAGGTAAAACTGAAAATTACAGTAAGGGTCCAGACATGGAGACAGTACTCTATGCTAAGAAACCTGGGCTTCATCAAGCTCAAGGCAAGTAGAAGCCACTAAGGGTTTAAAATAAAGGAATGACATTAATTATAAGGAGTGTGACTTGACACAGACTTTAATTGAGAACAAATACTGAGGTTCAGTAAAGGATAAGGTTATTGTTTTGTTTTTTAGACAGGGTTTCTCTGTGTAGTCCTGGCTGGCATGAAACTCACTTTGTAGACCAGGCTTGCCTGGAATTTACTGAGATCCACCTGCCTCTGCCTCCCAAGTGCTGGGATTAAAGGAGTGCACCACCACTGCTCAGCAGGTTCAGGTGTCTTTCCACAATTCATTAGCTGTACAACCTTGATATGGGATAATCTTGCTGAACTTCAATATTTTATCATTAAAATTGTAGAAATAAGTATAGTAGGTATCTTCTCTTGGTGGTGGAAAAAAGGACATTAGTAATGCTCTCTCTTAATAAAAAAAAAAAAGAAAGTAAATTCTAGAGGAAAATCTGAGAGACTACATTCACTAAGTCTTAGAAAGGTAGGTACAAACATTGTTACCAACAAGAGAACAGGCAGGTACAAACATTGTTACCAACATGAGACCAAGCAGACACAAACATTGTTACCAGAACTGCCTGGTCTCCTTCCTTACCTTAGAGGTTGCACTATCCCAAATAGCTAAACCAAAGTAGTCCTCTTCCAACAGATTGAGGTGCTCACAAACTCGCTTAAGCAAATCCTGTCCCTTAGCATGTTTCTGTGAAGATATACAAACATTAGTTAAGGGTTCATCTTATTCTTGTATTCATCACCTAATTTTTCAAAAAGTGTTCTTTTCCAATTTCCTTTTTTATTTTTGGTAATTAATACACTTTCACTACACAGTCTAAATAGAACATGATTTATAAAACCCCTCTCTTCCTCGATATGTCAGCTTATAAACACAACATATTATGACACTTTGGAAATAGCCACAATGCTAAGTAAAATCCCACCTCCACCCTTTCTCCACCTTCATCCAAAAAAAAAAATCATACCCCAAACCAAGGTCTTATTATGTGATCGTCCTGCCTTATAGTCTTTTTTTTTTCTTTTTAAAGACATTAAAAAGTAATGCATTAGCTGTCCTAGAAGTCATTCTGTAACCAAGCTGGTCTGGAACTCAGAGATCTGACTGCCTCTGCCTCCAGAGTACTGGTTCTGTCTTAGATTCTTAAATGCTAACACTACAGGCATGTACTGCCACACCCAACTAAGTACATTCTTTCATTCATTCATTCATTCATTTATTCATTCATTCTCTCTCTCTCTCTCTCTCTCCCTCATAATTTTTTATGCAGTATTTCCTGAACCATGTTATGGACCACTACCAGTTACCATGATGAATTAAATTGCTAATTAATCCTATCAAAACATGATAATTGTGGCTGTGGAAATCATTTTCAAAATAAGTATCAATAAGAATGAGCTACACCTGAACTCTCTACAACCTTCCTGAGAAGTAGGAAACAGACAGCCTATACACACTAGCTGTTAAAACAGCTATTCAGTAGTGTTACAAATCATTTTCTTTCCAAAGTCAAACCACTTCTAAAGCTGTCAGCTTAAACTCTTACTTACAAGGAAGCATGCCCTATTTTTCAGACTGTGATTTAAAGTTAAAACAGCAAATCAACCGGGTCATTCAATTAACAATGGTTTTTCAACTGTAAAGAATTTTTATACTCATTTACAAAAAAAAAGTTAATGCCTTCTGAAAAATATATACATATATACTTCAAAAACTACAAATCCTTTTTTTTTTCCAGTTCTAGGTACTGAACCTAGAGCCTTTTGTGTGTTAGGACTGAATTGCAGGTGCTTTTACCCTGAGGCATCTAATAATTTCTTTTCAAACATAATCATAGGGATAGCTGGAAATAGTGTCAGAAATTCAGCCTATCTTGGGAAATCTGGTCATAATGAGAGAGAGGGAGAGATGATTCTATTATAATAGTAACCACGCACTTAGGTCTCAAGATCTCAACAGATTCAGGAACAAAAAAAATAAGACTCACAATTTTCCCACCACTTTATTTCCAGAAGGCCACCATTAACATTTCTGTCCACAGAATGGTCCCCAAGGGGGTCTTGTCTTTAGCAGCCCCACACTGCACATGAAGTGATTATACCTCTGACTCTGGGATTAAAGCACACTCACCTCCACCACACACTCATAGATTGTGTCGTCCAACAGGGAAACCTTGCAGTGCATGTCTCTGTGTCTCCTGATGGGCCTCTGTGAAGCCTCTGGCTCTCTCTCTGCTTTTGACTCTGGGTCCTCCTTCACTCGTGCCCTGGAGCACTCTTCAATCCCTTCCCCTTCCTTCCTTTCAGACTCTGGATCCTCTCTGTGTTCTTCCTGAGCTGGCTGCATAGCCAGGGCACCAAGTTAGTGAAAAGAAATTCACAAAATAGGCTACACACACTCCTACCTACAGTAAGTAGTACCCCCTGCCAATAAAAATATGAACAGAAAGAAACTATTCAAACAAAAATAAGTTGAGTCATATTAACAAATCTTTTTTCCTAACATGTATTATGGTTCCCCCAAAGATGTTCAGACTTGACTATTCTTAATTTTTTCAGGTAGAATCCTATCAAATTGGAAAGTGACTGTGGGACACCAATCTACTGCTCTTGGCATTATATAATATATTCTTTCTGACTGTAACATTATATGATATATATGTTCATCAAATTTTTGTTGCCTCTATTCCATGATCTTCCACTTTAGAAAGGTAGCATTGAGAACTGTAAATCAAATGATTTGTCACAGGCTTTAAATTTTATAAACAGCTAAAAGACGCTCTTGCTATCTTGCACTTCTACATATCTGCATTAAGCAAATGAAGGTACCAGGCTAAAAACTATGGCTTGGCCCCAACTCTTCTCTACTTTCCTACATCCAAACAAGGATCATGAAGGAAGAGGAAGCCTGAAGATGGCCTCCTCCAACAATTGTTAAGTCATGCCAATGTTACACAAAAAAGGCAGAATATTTTGGCACACATTTTATTACTGATTTTTTTAAGACAGTTAACTAGCTTCAAACCTGTAGTTTTCCTTTGTCTGCTAAGTGCTGGGATTAGGGGCCACACTGGATTATTTTCTTTCTTTAAACACAATAAATCTATTGAGAGTTTTAACTAAATTCTATGAATTCTTTTCTTCCAAAAAAATACATGGTTGACATTTAACTAAAAAAATAACAACAACAACAACAAAAACAAAACTGGGTGGCTGACAGGCTTACATGCTGCCTTCACAATCATGTCAAGCAGTCTCAGAGTAGGCTTCAGGAGCTATTTGTTCTGTCCCACTGACTATTTCATATAATAACACCCTGACTGTTGTCCTGTCCCACTGACTATTATTTCATATAATAACTCCCTGAATGTTGTTCCTTCCACTCACCAGGCTTGGCAGCAACAAGCGTTTTTATTGCCTGAGCCCTCTTGCTGGCTCATCATTTAAAGTTTTTAACTTATCAAGGTCCTCCTATCCTAGAACCTGGCTTACACAGTAGGTTTTCAGCAATTATTTTTTACAAGTAAAAAATATTTAAAACTAATAGATGAGTGCTGCGTATGTGTGTAAGCCGTTAATCCCAGCACTCAGAGGCAGAAGCAGGTGGATCTCTGTAAGTTAGAGGTCAGTTTGATCTACATAACAAGTTCCAAGTTAGGCAAGGCTACAAGACCTTCTCTCAAACAAACAAACAAAGCCTAGTAGTGATACTAGGGAAATGTATCAGTCAGTAAAGTTTGTCATGCAAACATGAGGGCCTGTCACTCTTCTGTGATTTGCAGTCCCTACCTTGATCCCATAAATCTCATTCATAACTACTGTGGTGGCTTGAAAGAAAATAGCCCCCAAAGGGAGCAGCACTATTAGGAGAAGCTTTGTTGAAATGGGTGTGGCCTTGTTGAAGGAAGTGTGTAACTATGGAGGTGGGCTTTGAGGTCTCATATATGCTCAAGATACCTTTCAGTGTCTTAGACCACTTCCTGTTGACTGCAAGTCAAGATGTAGAACACTAAGCAACCTCTCTAGCACCATGTCTGCCTGCATGCCACCATGTCCCACCATGATGAAAATGAACTGAACCTCTGAACTATAAGTCATCATAATTAAATATTTTCGTTTATAAGAGTTGCTGTAGTTAAGGTGTCTCTTCCCAGCAATAGAAACCCAGAGATAACTACTATTTAGTGAATCTTGGTTTTTTTGTTTGTGTAAGTGTATGAGTCATGTATATGTTATGTACATGTGAGTGTACACTTAAGGAGTTAGTTCTTAACTTCTATCTTGTTGGGTCTCTGGCTTCTGCCACTGCACTATTCAGCCTAAGCTAACTAACTGACCCACGAGCTTTCAGGTGAGTCTCCTGTCTCCACTCCTCATCTTTTCATAGGAATGTGGAGATTATAGATTTGTGCTACCACATTCAGCTTTTTATGAGGGTTTTAGGAATTTGAATTAAGTCACCTGGCTTGTGCAGCAAACCTTTTTACCCACTAAGTCATCTATCCAACCCTGGGTCTTATTTTTAATATTGTTTCACTAACAGCAAGTACCTACTATGATTTCATCCTAAAGTCAGCCTTTGACACTCTGAATATACAAGTAACATTTCTAGAAATACATATAATAGTTTTAGAAAAGCCTAATGAAACTATATACTCCAAACTTTAGACCTTTCATAGAAGCACACACAGGACTTAAACTTTAACAATCCAGATAATGCTCAAAAGCTATTTTGAAAAATAACTCTTACTTTGTAAGCAGTAAGTCTGAAAACAAGTAAGATTTCTAGAAAACAATTTTGAGTTATACTATTAGTGCTTTTACATATTTTGGACAAAAGAATAACTGATATTTAATTACACTGATACAAAGTTAAAGCCCTGCATGAATAAATACTACAGAGGGGTCAATGAGATGGCTTATCAAGTAGTAGCACTTGCTGCCAGGCCTGGCTACCTGACTTTGATTCCTGAAGGCCACACTGTGGAAAAAAAGAGACTGACTTCCCAAAACTGTCTTCTGGTCTTCATATGCACACTGTGATACACACATGAGCATGCACGTGTACATACACACAGAAAAATAAACAAGGGATGGAATTAACATTTCAGTAATGTGCTCCCTAGAGCATATAGCCCAAACAAGACAAGCATGGCTCAGATCTATCACATACCCTGGGATGGCCTGAATCCATCACATGGATTAATGGAAATTTTCACAAAAGGGCCACACTGGCTGATAACTATTCCATCCCTAATTCCACCAAAAGGAACTTGAAACCACCTCACTTCTTTCCGGCTCTCCCATTAAAACTCAAATTTGTCCCATTATTACAGCAAGATGGGATATGGTCTAAATAAACTCATTTGATAGTTTTCTTTTATTTGATTTATAGAATATATTTTTTAAAGCCAGTTGAAACTGATTATATTAATTTCTTTAGGGCAGAAATTCTTTGTTAACTGGCTCATAAGAAATAATACCAAGTATTCTTCTATGAAAAGTACAGCATATAAGGTATCTTCACTACACTCCCACCCACAGTCGAATGCCTTACCTGTGTTTCTATGCTGCTTAATGAATGAAGATCCAAAGATGGGTCTGTTTTGAGTTCAGGTTCAGGAGCTGCAATAGGAGCCTTTAAAATGATGTCTTCATCAAGGCTCGTTCCAAACTCTATCTCCTTTTGACCTCCTTCACCTTTTTCTTTATCTGACTCTGCTTCTCTGCCTTCTTCTTCAGAAACCTGGGACTTGGGCCTTTTGAGGAATGAGGAGAGCAGTCGTGACAGGCCTCTGCTTTCTGACGTCCGTTCCTTGTTCTTGGTCAAGTCTTCATGTGTCGGAGTGTCCCCATTGGATGCTTTCAGCTTCTGCTCACACTGATTACTGCCCTCAGCTGCCAGTTGGGAAGCCTCTTCTAGCTGAGTTTCTTGTTGGCCTGAGTTTGTGGCTCCCTCACCTTCTTCCTTCTGTTGTTGGTGCTGAGAATTCTCAGCTTCAACCACTAAACTCTTCTCTGTTGTCATGATGTTCCTTTTAAAAGGAAGAGGAAAGGGGGAACTATTATAGGCAAAACACATTTCTGCAGGCCAAGTCCCTAAACCTCAAAAGGTTTGGATTTAATAACCAATAGAATTCCATCCATTAAACAGAAGACCTTAAATTAAAGCACAAAAATATTTTGCCTATACATCCTGGATAAATTATTAATGCCTGAATTCATGAAAAACTATCTTAAAATAGTATCCACTGAGGCCATATAATGAAATACACCATAACTAAATTCAAGGCTCAGAAGTGTACATAGCAAATACACCTTTTATACTTCCTAAACCAAGGCCTTATCTGGGTACTGTCCTTTCACGGTGTCAATCAAAAATGCAAGATTTGCAGAAATCCCAAACCCTAGAGATGGTTAAATTAGAAAGTTCTGCAAATCTCTTTTGTTTTTCTTGCTCATATTTCTTAGTATGAAGACTTCTCCATTAGGAAGAACAAACACAGAATTCTGATCATTTGCTATCAGAGTTGACAACAGCAAGGACAAGCATACAGTCAAAATAACCACACAAAAGATGTCCTTAGGTTTCATGATGTGATACTAAATTATATCTGCTTTCAGAGGCATTCGATTTTAAGCTCCTCAAAACAATTTTTCTTCTGAGAAATATGACTTTGAATGCTCAGCATGTTTGAAAGTAGGAAGTGAAACCATTCTACTGGGGGTGAAAAATAAGAAAAATGCCATAGGGGAAATTTTAGAAAGCCAATGTTGATGTACTTTAGGGGAGAACGCAGGTTACAAACTTCACATATTTAAAACTTGGTTTCTAGCCTTTTGAAGTCAAAGCTCCAGCATTCCTACTCAAGCCTCATTGTAAGAATCAGAGAGCATTATCACTGCTATTCCAGTTCAGATGTCAAGCCTCTGAGAGAGGCCTCTCAGGCACTCAACTAAAGTAACAGCCACCAATGATAGCCTCTCAGCCCTACAACAATTATGATCTTGTAGATTTAGCTTATTTACTGCCCTTCTTCCATACCCCTCTCTCCATCTAAAATACAAGATTTCATGCTGTTTTGTTTTTGAGATAGGGTTTTTCCGTAGCCTTTGGAGGCTGTCCTGGAACTTGCTTTGTAGACCAGGCTGAGTCTTTTTTTTTTTTAACAGAGTCATTTTCTTTTTAAATCTATGCATGTATCAATATGCATGTGTGTGCAAGTGCCTGAGGAGGCCAGGGAGGGTGTCAGGTCTCCTGGAGCTGGAGTTACAGGTAGTTGTAACCCCCTCTAGTGTGGGTGCTGGATATCTAACTCGGGAACTCTGTAAGTGAAGCAAGAATTCTTAACCACTGAACCAACTATATAGACCTGAGTCTTTCTTACCACTGCATACCCAATGCCTAGAACAGTATCTACATATACTAGAGGTTAAGTGTTTGTATACGTGGTGTATGTATGTGAGAGTGTGTAAACATGTATGGGGGAGGCCAGAGGTCAACTTCAGGTGTCTCCATCAATCACCCTCCACTTTATGTTTTTGAGACAGGGTCTCTTACTGGACCTAGAGTTCACTGCTTTGGTTAAATTGGCTGTTCAATGAGTTCCAGGGATCTAACTAGCTTTGCCTCCTCAGTCCTAAGGATTATAGACATGTGACACTGAGCTCAGTTTTTTATGTGGGTGCTGAGGATCTGAACTCTGATCCTCCTACTTGTAGGGCAGCGGGCACTTTTCTGACAGACCCATCTCTTCAGCCCCTTAATACAAGCTTGGGTTTTTTGTTTTGTTTTGTTGGTTTTTGTTTTGTTTTTATTTTTATTTTTTATTATTTTTTGTTTCTGAGACAAGAGTCTCACTGTGTAGCTCTGGCTGTCCTAGAACTCACTATGTAAACCAGGCTGGCCTCAAACTCAGAGATCTGCCTGCCTCTGACTTCCAAGTGCTCGGATTAAAGTGTGTGCCACCACTGCCTGGCTTATTTTTTGTTTTATTGTAAATGCCAGAGGGCATCTTGTGGGAATCAGTTCTCTCCTTCATCCCATAGCTTCTAAGGACTAAGCTCCGGTCAGACTTGGCAACAGGTGCCTTTATCCACTGAGCCATCTCACTGGTCAAATAAAATTTTATTTCACTTGAGTACAACTGATATCTATAAACTTCAAAGACAGTCTCTAAATTTATTCAAGCATATTTATTCATCCATCAAATCCTCATCAAATATTTAGTACAGGTCCAAGGCTAAGTGCCAATGATGCCACAGTAAACAAAACAAAACAAGCAAGGTCTCTATCATAGAGAAGTTTACTCCCTCAATTCAACTTTGATACAATGAAAGAAGAGTGCAACAGAAATCTTAGAATAACTGCACATGCATGGAACAGAGCAAGGAAAAGGGAAGCAGTTAATACTTGCATGGGCACTGTTTTCTGTGTCAGGGCCCATGTTATGGGTCTTATATACATTATTTCAAACCTTTCAATAACCTCACCCCACCCAAAAAAATAAAAAAAAACAAAGACAGGAATCATCTGATCTTATAACTGAGGGCATTAAAATCCAAGAAATACCCAGAACATGCTCTCATAGGATCCTGGATGCTAAGTTGGGTCAGGACTGGTTAATACTTAGATGGGCAAGAGTAACTTGCCAAAGCCAATACTTCTAGGAGGTTGCAAGCCATTACAAATGGCACTGAAATAAATGAAGGCATTGTAATAAAAAGGTCCCTTACTTTTATCTGCTTTTAAACATTAACAGTATTTTTAAAGTAACAATATTTAAAGAAGTACATCTAATCTCATTTCCTAAGTCACTGAAATGACTCTAAGCAGTAGAATATGAAACATAGTCTTTGGAAATACTGCACAAAGCATCTACCAATCAACATTCAGGTTTCATTTTTTGCTCTTAGGCACACCTGCACTTTAAGAGAAATAAAATTGTCATCATCTTCATATCCACAACAGAAAACACATATATCCCAAATGATCTTTCTTTTTTTAAGATTTATTTATTATGTATACAGTGTTTTGCCTACATGCATGCTGCACACCAGAAGAGAGCACCAAATCTCATTATAGATGATTACAAGCCACCATGTGGTTGCTGGGAATTGAACTCGGGATCTCTGGAAGAGCATCAGTGCTCCTAACCTCTGAGCCATCTCTCCAGCCCCCAAATGACCTTTCTTTAATTAAACAACACAGAAAAGAAAACCGGATGCTGAACCTTTGTCTCTGTGCAAGAGTAACAAGAGCACCATAATTGTCTCTTTGCAAAACTAAGCAAGGAAACTTGAGGAAGACACGCTATTGTCCATGGGTTGTAAACACAGCCTGACCAAAAGGGAACAGAAATCATCTCTGTACTAAAATTTTCTGACACAGAAGACTTTACACCAGCTTCTCTCATAAAGACCTTCAAAACATTGCAAATCTGTTATGAAAGTCTTATCAGGCATGAAAATAACTTAGCCTCTAATAGTCCTGAACTTGCAGTTTTAGTTGACAGAATATTTATTCTTGCATTTTGGGGATTTTTCTTCTAGTTTTAAATACAGAAGCATCATCTAAGGGTACCCCTATAACTACCTGCATAGGAAAAGATGTCTTCTATCAGAAAGTACTGAATAAGTATTCTAGTTGTTACACGTGCACAGACGGTAACAATCCATGTGCTATCTGCTTGTTAAACTTCAACCTGCCAGAATTAACTAGACATCTTGTTAAAATACAGATTTGAGTTCAGACGACCTGAGAGTCTGTCTTCCTATCAAGTTTGTTGCTCATGCTACTGGCACATTGAAAACACTTTAAGTAGCAAAACACAAACCCCAGAAAGTCACTTCAGGAAGGTACTTCAAAATGCCTAATGAACAAAAACAGCAAAGAGCCACTTCCAGAAAGTGGAGTATGAACAGTGGGAAAGCTTTACTCAACAAATGCTTGTTAAACTAATACAAGAAGCAAACAAAGACCCATGTTATTAAGCATGCAAGTGGAACCATTAACATTCTTTAGAACTCAAAATCAGACCTTGGAATTTTTTAACCACAGAAGTGTGGCAATGCCACATTTCCCATATAAATATGACACTTGCCCAGACTCAGCATTCTAGATATCTCCTTTTATAAGATCTCTTTACCATTAGGACACGCAAAGAATTACAGAATAACAACAATCAATAAAGAATCAATATACTTTGCCACAAAATTAGACACACACACACATATATTTTAAAGAGTGGGATGTAGTAGCACACATCTTTAATCCCAGCACTTAGGAGACAGAGGCAGGTCAGACAGAATTTGAGGTCAGCCTGATCTACAGAATGGGTACTAGAACACACAGGCTACACAGAGAAATTATCTCTAAAAACAAACAGACAAACAAAAAATAAATAAGTAAACAAATAATTGTTTTTGGCTTTTTGAGACAAAGTCTCATATAGCCCAGGCCAACCTCAAACTGTGTGTGTAGCCAAAGTTGACCTTAACTCCTGATCCTCCTGCCTCTATCTCCTGTGTACTGGGACTAACAATCCATGTCACCAATTCAGCTTAATAAATAATTATTTTTCAGAAGCTCAAACTTGTCCTGGCAAATCAGTGATGAACATGATCAAGTTCTTCGGGTTACAGACGGCAGGCTGGATAGTGAGAGGAAGATACAAAGTCAGCAGCAGAACCAGGACACCCTCTACAGATGGATGCTCACTGCTGAATGGTGCTATTCTCATCCTGGATACAAAGCCCAAAGGAAAGTATCTATTTACTTCATGTCACAGAGAGGTCTTTTGATTGTTGTAAAGGAGCGGGGGAATCAGTACAACATTGAAGACAAAGTGATGAGCCCCCATTCAGACTCAATCTTAATCCTCTGAACCCTGAGAATTATATGGCATCTGGAATCAAAGATACTTTTGTCCTAACAGTGTGCATCTGTTATCTTCAGGCAAATCTGATCACTAAAGGCCCCATACTAAGCTGATTGAGAAGGCCAAATGAAGTCTTTCTTCTTCTACTTTTTTTT